TGGTGGCAATTGAATGCATGTGGGTGCATTATACTCATTAGGCACATAGTGATCTCTCAATGCGAGTGGTGGATTAGCAACTTGAGGTGCAACATGGACACCTTGGTTATATTGAGCTTGATTAATGATGGGGGGTTGTGGTGCATACATTGGCCTTGGAATTCCTATTGGAATTTGGCCTTGTTGTTGAGGAGGTTGATGAATGTATGGCCTAGGCATGCCTAATGGAACTTGCATATTATCATTTTGCGCATTAGGATGAAGGATGCCTTGTTGGTCTATGTGACCAAGGTCTTCAACATGATCATTATTGAGAGCGTCCATTGGTAGATTGGTTCTATGTGAACTTCCTCTTCCCCTTGGATTCCTAATAGTGGATTCTAAATGCAAATCAAGAGGGACAAGAGTAGGTCTCAATGAACGACGACCATGCATGCACAATGCAACACGAATAAGCAACTTTCTCAACAATGCAATTAAACTTCACAACCACAATTTTCAAATGCAATGTATGTCAAATAAATGCCTCCACGTGGGCCCCCGATTTATCTAAGGAGATTGAGTAAGAAGGTCTCACAATAGTCCTTTAGCACTTCAACTCCAAAATTAAAAGCTTAGCTTAGCAATTTTACTTAGCAATTTTTCATTTTAAGCATTTTTCCTTTGCTTTGCTTTGCTCCTTAGCTTGGAATTACTTTGCTAGCTCCTTGCTCAATGCACCTAGTTAATGAAGAACAAACTTAATAAGCAATCAAAAACAGAAAATAAAAAGAAAGTAAAGACACGATCAAAAGAGTACTAATCCTAATTGAATTTCACAATTCGACGTTGCCAATTTAAAATCCCCGGCAACGGCGCCAAAAACTGACCGGTCCTTGCCTTTACAACAAGGGTCGCGATACCAAGTCAAGCTTGAAGAGGTGTGAATTTAGGAGGTGGCCAAGTTTTACATTTATAAAAAAGCCACTACTACCTTTCTCTATATAAAATATAGATAGGGCGAGTAGGGATCGTCCCAAGGGATTTGATGGTGTATCGAATTGTGAAACTATGGTAATTAGGGTTAGTAGGTCGAGTGATTACACAATTGATTGATTGGTTGATTAAGCTAAATTGAATTCAACTAAATAAAATAATATGAAGTAAATAAGAGAGAGAGAGGTCTTGGGGTGTAGAGATCACCACCAAGCAATACTTTTCTATACTACTAACAAGTGATCAATTGAGGGTAATGGATGTGTTGCAATATGGTAAGGGTGTGTGTGCATTAGGTTGATTCAATTAGCAAGGATGACAAATCAAGCAAGTATTGTCTAAACATCATGTGAAGAGCACAATATATCTAAACAATAGAGCATATATTGTCTAGACAACATGGGGATAGCACAATAGATCAAAACAAGTCATTAATCCTTCATTAAGCTCACAATCCACATACAACACAATATTAGAGGAATATGCCATTTGGACTCACAAGCATGGAACATCAAACATCAAGAGTAGATTGTCCACCCATCTAACATTACACTACCAATACACTAAATCTACACTACTAGCATGAAAATAAAGCTATCTAGACTAAGGAAGAGGCACAAACCATCAAGAATAGGCATAAACCATCAAATGAATCAAAATAGCATTCATTAAGCATATCATCTTGATAATCTCTAGATCTATAGCATTAATACACATAAACATGCATCAAAAACACTAAATTTAGAGATAAGCACATGAATATCCTACTCTAGCATACATAGACATATGGATAGAATAGAATAGTCAATTGGAAGCATTAAACCATACAAACCATGAAATAATCAAGATTTATATATACATGAATATCAAAATGTATCATACAACACTAATCCCTCAATAATACACAAGATTAGAGTATAGAAAGCATGTTTAGGGCTAACTCTAGCCCCAAGAGGATGTCTAGCCACTCATGGTAGTGATGATCCAACCCTCAAGGGCTAACTCCATGGCTGCTCCTTGTTGGTGAAGATTTCCTCCAATGGTTGCTCTAGCTTCCTCCCTTCTTCCTCTCCAAGAATAGCCTCCAAGATGATTTTCAATGTGTGACAAAAGACTCTCCCAAAAAGTGTATCATATTCCTTATATAGGTAGGTCAAATACACCCCATGATGAGCTGTGGTCGTGCAAGGCATATTCTCCAATGATTGGATGAAGGATGGAATAAATGAGCTGGACTTTAACTTTTTCTCGCTAGAGGAAGTTCGATCGATCGAACCTTAACTTGGATCGATCGAAAATGGGTTCGATCGATCGAACTGAATCTTGGATCGATTGAAATGGTCTGACTCCTCCGGATAAGGACAAGGCTGAGATATTTTCAAGATATTTATGGGGAAAAAGACAAAAGTGGTTGGTAGGCGTACAACTGTGGATAAGATCAATCATTTGAATAGGACAAAATAGGGTTCGATCGATCATAGATGATGTTCGATCGATCGAACTTGGAATTTCAGCAAAGGCCAAGGTTGGATCTATTGAGAAGTACTGTGATCGATCATAGATGTTCGATCGATCGAACTCTAAGTTAGATCGATCGAACTTTTCAGCTGCACAACTTGATTCCTTTTTGCTCCTTTCTTTCTCCACTTTGCTCCCTCCTTTGGTTTATCTCAGGATTGCTTCAATTAAGCTTTTATTTGGCTGAGTTAGCTCAATTTTGGGATTAGTGCCTGAAAATATAAATAACACGTAATAAGTCTAAAACGACAAAGTAAGATAGATAAAGGTACTAGAATGCTTAAGCTTAACGGGTTTAAATGCACACTTTTCAGTGCTCATCAATTGTTATATTTTAATTCTTTAGATAATGTATACAAAGAGATTTGTATAATTTGATTCTTAAATGTTGACTCACGTGTTTGCTATTCTGATGATTTAATCTATTATTGATGAATTAGATGATGGCATGGGTTTTTATTATCACGTTTACACACGTTAGTGACAGTGGAACGGGGCAAAGGGTGTGTTTTCATCAACACGTAGTTTTTGGTCACCATCTAACCGGTTGGATGGGTCATTTAATCGGTTAGATCACATTTTGGGAACATCTAACCGGTTAAATTCCCAATTAACTGATTAGATGGGATTGATAGTGGTGTCGTGAACTTTTAGCCAATTATCTGTGCGCACAGATCACTGAAGTGTGCGCACAGATCACTAATGTGTTCGTACATTTGGGGAAGTGTGCGCACAGATGGGGATTTAGGATTTTATATGTTCACTGGGAGGGTCATCTAATCGATTAGATGGCACATCTAATTGGTTAGATGAACCCAATCTTCACGGTTTATCCTCAACTACTGTATAATTACATATTTAACCCCAAATTTTGGCATATTTACATAATTACCCCTAGACTTTAACCAAAGTACAAAATGACCCTAGAAAATGACAAAAATAGCCCTGAAGGGTACAAATGTTATATTTTGCGCAAAAAATGACAGTTTTACCCCTAAAGTGTCTAAAAGCTATAAATTGCGTAATAAAGGACTATTTTACCCTTTTGGGGTTCTAAGACATTGTTTGACCATGTCAAATGACCGTTTTACCCTTATGGGCTCTAGACCCATTATAATGATGTGAAATGACCGCATTATCCCTGGACTTCAACTTAATCATTGGACGACCCTAGTGAATGATCGTTCTACCTTTTTTTGGGTCTTGAACTATAATGAATGAGTTAAAATGACTATTATGCCCTTATGAACCATTGGAGTAGTAGAATAACGTGGGACGACTATGAGGTTTCTAGATATCACTTAAATCGTTGAATGGCATTAGTAAATGACGGTTTTACCCTTAGTGGACCTTAAAGTATTAAATTAATGTGAAAATGACCATAGTACCCTTGTGTGTCCTCGGGTTCGGGTGAGGACCCGGCTAGCGATCCGGATCCCTGAATTTGGGTCGTTGCAAGTGTCTTTTACCACATTTTCAGCGGTGAAGATGGGTAGTCTCAGCCACAATGGCAAAACTGACGACAACTGCAGTGTCGGTGGTGGTGAGTGGTGATTGGATTGATTTTGATTGGAGATGTGAACTCGGTGGAGAGGCAGGTGGGAAGTCCAGCGGTGAGGAAGAAGCGGCAGTAGGGGATGGAGGAAACGAAGCTACTCGGTTAAAGCGCAGGGAAATCTAGGGCGTATCTAGATCTGCCAGTGGAGAGGTGGGTGGGAAGTTCGGCGATGAGGGAAATCTTCGTCTTTGTTGGGAGGAAAGACAACGAAGGTTTGTTGTCATTAACGATGGATCAAGAGTTTTTGATACCACTAATCGATTAAGGTTTGATTGGAAACCCTAAGTAGTGATGAATGGTGGTGGGTGAAATCGAAGGGGCAAAGGTGGAGGAAAGAGGTGGCGAGATTGTGGAAGTGAAGGGAGGTGGTGGACGTTGCAGTGGAGAGAGGGTGGAAGTTGCGTAAGTGGCGATGTTGGGTGGCAGTGGTGGCGACTGTGCTGCTCTTCCCCGATGCTTTTCTCTTGGCCAATATTGGTTATAGTTTTATATATATATATATATATATATATATATATATATATATATATATATATATATATAGTTTTATATTTATATATGATATGATGGTGCTGGTAATAGTGTATATATACAAGGGTAAAATTGACTTTTCACGGATTCTGATATTTTACAATAAAAATGAATTAAATATTGAGGGCAATTTAGTCTTTTTTAACATTTTAAGGTCTTGTTTGGATCAAAATTATCATAGGGGTATCTTTGTCTAAAATCAACTAAGTTATATATAACTATTAATATAACAAATCTCAGTGCTGTCGTTGTAATTAACCAAAGTAATTTAATAAATTTCTATCGTTAGTAAATCGGGTACTATACATTTTACCCGTCTGGTGCGCTTCTGTCCAATATATCTCTTAAACGACAACGTTTGGAATCAAATTAATTACCCAATTTGCCCCCAATTCACAGCTGCGTCTCTACAGTCCTCTCTTTGTTTCGCCCTCTTTCCTCTCACTCCCCTGCGGCCCATTTCATACTAACAGCTTCAAATTCTCTTCAAAAACCTAAAAACCCTGCAGACCCATCAGCCAAAATGCGTATATTCTTTGCCTATTCAGCCAAAATCTTCAATTTCAATACCACAACCGTCAAATCCAGTCCCTTGATTCACACAGTACTTCATGACCCTCTCACCAACACTTTCACTTGCAAGAGACCCATGTCACAGTCCACCTCCATACCCAAAAAGCAACAGAGGGTTCGAGACTACGGCTACGACAACTACATGGAGGTGGAGAAGAAAATGCGGAAAGTCCTCAAGTTTCAGGACCTCATTTTCTCTCAACCCAGTTCAGTCGTCTCCATCTCTCGCCTCGACACCCTCGCTCGCCGCCTCGGCCTGAAGCAGTTCGAAGCCGGCCAATTCATTCTCAAATTCCCACACGTTTTCGAGATTTTTGAACACCCAGTTCAGAGAATTCTCTATTGCAGGCTTACCCGGAAAGCTCTGCTCCAAATTGATCAAGAGAACGAAGCCCTTATTGCCCAAATCCCCGACGCCGTGACCCGTCTCCGGAAGCTTCTCATGATGTCAAACACCGGCAGGCTTCGGCTCGAACATGTCCGCATTGCGCGCAAAGATTTCGGACTGCCTGATGACTTCGAATTCTCGGTAATTCTCAAGTACCCACAATTTTTTAGACTGTTTGATGCGAAAGAAACTAGGAATAAGTACATTGAGGTTGTAGAGAATGATCCAAATTTGACCATATGTGCTATCGAGAGACTTAGGGAGAGAGAGTACAGAGAGAAGGGAATTGATGCTGAGAACATCAGGTTTTCATTCATTGTAAATTTCCCGCCCGGGTTTAAGATTAGTAAGTACTATAAGATTGGGGTGTGGAAGTGGCAACGGCTTCCGTATTGGTCTCCGTATGAAGATGTCTCGGGTTATGACTTGAGGTCCTTGGAGGCGCAGAAGAGGATGGAGAAAAGGGCTGTTGCTACTATTCATGAATTGTTGACGTTGACTGTCGAAAAGAAGATTACTTTGGAGAGGATTGCGCATTTTCGTTTGGCAATGAATTTGCCCAAGAAGCTGAAAGAGTTCCTTCTTCAACATCAGGGGATATTCTATATATCAACTAGGGGTAATCAAGGGAAGCTTCATACAGTTTTTCTGAGGGAGGCTTATAGGAGGGGGGAGTTGATAGAGCCCAATGATTTATATTTAGCAAGAAGAAAATTGGCTGAATTGATTTTGATAAGTCCTAGGAAGGCCAATGTGGACAAGGAGTTGGCAAGTTATAGGAGAGATGCAGAAGATAATGAAGCGGGGTGTATCAAAAGAGACTACGTTGATGACAGTTCTGACTATGAGGGCAGTGCTCAAGGTAGGGTGAGGGAAGATGTTTTGGACTCGGATTCGGATCATGCTGGTTCTGATATTTTGGACAAAGATAATGATTGTGAGGAAAGTGTGGATGCAGGGGATGCTCGTGCGGTTGACTGAGATGACTGGTCATTTGAGGTTCATTGTGAATTTTTGAAGTCCTAGTCATTTGCATCTTCTCTTTTCGCTTTGAAGCCTCACGTCATTTCAGTTCCACAATAGCATTGGAGATAACCATACATCTTCTGAAGTCCATAAGAAGTGCATGGCATAGATTGGCTATTGATGTGGCAAAAGAGAAAGATGCTTCTCATGAAAAATGCGTAAATTGGTCTCTTTCATTGGTGAAAGAAACACCTGGTTTGGGATTTAGGTTCATAAATAAAGATCATGATTTAAGAGGAAACTATTTGGCACCTCAGTAGATCCAATTTTTTCCTTCACGACCTGAAGGTGAATGTTTTGTGGGAATTGACAGAATTTATCCATGTGGCTATACCAGGCTTCTGACTTGTACCAGTATGGAGTAAACCTGAAAGGAATTATTCTGCTTAATGAAAGGAAGTTGAAGTTTTTGCGAGCAGTACCGGACCTGTGGAAGAGGTTTTGTTTCAGGAGGCCGCCCCTACAGTCGTGTAAGCTACTTGGATTGTAACCTTATTGAATTCAGTTTTGTTAACATAAATAATCAGGAGGAATTGTGCTAAATCAAAATGGAAAAATCAATACTTTCTACCTTAATTTGTATAGTATTTGAACAATAGTAGTTATAAGAAAACCAGAATAAAAGGTCTTTTATTTGTATTGATCATTTCAACTATCTAAAATTTGTGAAGTCTAAAGTGGCTTAACCATCTTCTGGCTCCGAAGTATCTCATATGTCTCCATGTTTGAATTACCAGGATGAACAGATGTAAACCCTAAATACTTCATTATGATTTTTGGGAGTTTTGTCAAATATTTTAAATTGTAGAAGTTAAGAGTCTTTGAAAAAACAAAATTATATCATGATCTAAAATATGATTATTCTTACTAATCACAAATCTTTTGGTAAATCATGCCAAGTGTATGATTCAACCAATGTAGGCTCTCTCTTTCCTACCAAAATTTCTGATCACTTCTCAATTTTTTTTTAAAAAATGGGAGAATAATGAAGCTGGACACTCCTATACCATGCCAAGAGCTGAAATTATCTTGTCTGTCCTAAACAAATGAATAGCACAACTTGAAACTTATTGATAAATGTGATTAAGTGTGATTTTGTTTCAAAGGATCATGATCACCTCTGGAATGAAGTTTCTGAACAATTCTACTGCCTTTAGGTGTTGATGATAAGAATTTGAGCTTTCACAGCTTTAATAGACCAATCGCTTCTATATAAGTTCTTTAACAAAAGCCTCTCTATAAGCTTTCTAGTAGACACTGTTATATAAGCTCTCTAGCAATCCAGTGATGACTTGATGTTTGGAACTAAGATTGCATACACTGGTACACACACCATGAGGATAAAATTCTCTTTGGCAAAGTTATTTATTCCACAAGAGTAATTATTAGGCACTAATAACATATTTTCATGTTTTATGATTTTATAATTATTCATAAATATTGGGAGTAATTTCTTATGAATAATTCCAGCATAGTATGCATGACTTTCTCCCAACTAATGAGCTTTTGTTAGATAAACATCTACAGTTCAACAGTATCTTATCTGAGTAACTAGACATGTTTTGAATCATATCCGTAAGTGCAGTCATGTTAGGTCTGCACTCGGATTTAATGTTTTAATTAGTGACATCTTCAGATTGGCGCGCCTTAACGGGGTTCATAAACTTGTTAATCCATGTATAGCTAGTATATTCAATGAATCCCAGGTTGCAATCACTTTCATTCTTGCTAAAGCATTCCCTTGTCATCAATGCCATGGTTTTATCTATTGTCCTCCATTTCTGTTCTTGTAACAGTCATGTTGTGATCCACTTGTCCAGTCTAACACAGTCTGTGTGATACCCCTCGGATCCGAGACACGGGTTGATCAGGCCCAGGCCCAAACCCGAGGGAATATCAAACAATTAAAGTATTTTAAAACGAACACAGATGACAAAAAGAACAATAAAGATAGAATAAAACTGAAAGAAACATTAATTATAAAATCCTCCATGGACAACTGAAAAATGAAACTCCAATCCTCCAAAACTTCAAGGTTACAACTTGGGAATCCACTGATGGACCCCTAACCAAAAGTTCAACTGAAACTGAAAACTGAAAATAGATAATGCTAGAAACATCGAGAGAAGTCCTACGTATTCAGATGAAAGTGAGACTGTCCTCGACAAGCACGATCAAGCTCTAAGGCTGGAACCGTCCTGTACCTGAAAAGAATAATAAAGGAGTGGGTCAGACCCACGAGCAAGTTCTAATCTAACTGCAATCCATACAGTGACCCGATACGTAGATACACCGTAGACACCTCACAATATCTATCTAGTCCATACATATAAATATATCCACACTAAGGGACATTCACTAGTCTATAATAGGGGTCTCAACCTGAATAGAAGGCAACATGCGAATACGCACCCAAAGGTGGGCATGAGTACCTAGACCTAACAGGGTATACCTCAACCTATTATAACCAGCTATGCATCCACTGCATATACGCACCCTAACCAACGAGTCTGAGACTCAAGCTCAACTCGTGGTACCATAACCATATATATAAAGTCCGTCCAAATCCAGGGTAAGCAGTTCAACTATTTATTAAACTGACCTACAATAAACCAACTAGTTAGTCACTCCACTTATTTAGTTGATATGACTTAACTACCATCCGTTAATCTAGGAAGTCATCCAACTTGGTTACAGCTGATCTGACTTAGCCACAATTAGGATTCGATATCTTTCAATCCATTCCATTAATCCATTAGGTTAGGTTTATGCGTTTTGAGCTAAACCGTCCCTAGTATGTCACCGTCCCATACCGGTACATACCATCCTCCATATCCATGTAAATTACAACATATATAACCGTTCAATAATTTACAGACCAAAAACTACCATCCAAACAATTGCAGAAAACTATTTAAAGCTTCAGTAATTTAAATCCAAGCATTTAACCATATAGTTGCAGGAGACGATTTTAACAAATCAACAACTAACATCCAGAGCATGCATAGACCAAATTTGATATGTCAGGGACTCCATCATGCATGTGAATAGGTTAAATAATCCTATTATTAACCAATAAATTGCTAAAACAATTCAGAAGATTGTTTAAATATTTCAGCAGTTTAAATCCAAGCATTAACCATATAGTTGCAGTAAACAATTTAATACTTCAGCAACTAGCCTCCTAAGCATGCATAGATCAAAATTAATAATTAAATGACCTTATCATGCACTTGACTGCATTCTAAAACAAGTTTTATAAACACATTATGTTCCATCAAATTGCTGAATTTTAATTCAACAATTAATTCAACTTCCATTTGATAAGTGTCTTAATTTTTACACTGTTTGTCCCGACAACTTAGAATTAAACTTTACTCAATTTAGGGTCTTAATAACACTCAAAATTCATTCCTTGATCCCTCTGTAAAGTTCCAAATTCATTCAAACAGTCTCCATGCTCCAACAGTGAACACAGTATGTAGAAAATTAAAAAAAATCGTAAAATAAATCAAAAATACCAAGGGAGCCTGCTCCAGAATTTGGAGCAGGCTCTTTTCCAGCCTACAGCCGGCTCTAGGACTCCCTAGAGCCGGCTCCACTTTGTTGTGGGAGCCGGCTCCCACTTCCATGGAGCCGGCTCTCACCTCCTGTGTGAGCCTTCGTCCCCGGTGCGTGTTTCAGCTCTTGTGCTCCTTCTCCGGCTTATTCCTAACCCTCTGTTAGTTTTTAAAACCAAACTTAGGACTCGTAATTTAGTCTAGAAGCATTCCCCAAGATTGTTTACAATAGTTTTGGAAGCAATTACAGGGTTTAATCAGGCCATTTAAACTAGCGTTGTTGAAGAACGGCACTGAAACTAAATTGCAAGATCAGTTTTATCCCAACCCCTCTGTTCTTTCTCCAATTTAAATTTGAAGTCTTAACTTACGTCTAGTATCCAGTCAGACCTTGGTTGATTTCAGTAAGATTCAAAATAAAAATTAGAACAGTGGGACGTTATGCCAAAACAGAGTCAAGAAAACATACGCGCTATAATTATTTTGTAAATAAATTTTGCACAGATAAAACGATCAAGCAAATTATATATCAAACATGCATGGTTCAGTTTAAGGCCAATTAATCTCCTAGAGACTGTCTAGGTGCACAGAACACAAGCCAAAGGGAAGGAGAAAGAGAAGAACTTGCCTGTACAGTTTTATAAACAGAACCTTGACGCCGTTGTTCTAAGCTTTCCGGCAACCACTGACTACCTTCTAGCCTCCTCTGGTTCTGATCTAATCCACCAAACACCTCCCTTGGTCCTCTCTGTTAGTCTCCTTGACAGACCGTTACGACGCTCTGTTCTCTCAACTTCTCTCTTTACTGTATACGGGAATATGGTGAATAGGGTTTTAGAAAACCCTCGGCAGACGTATACCCATATATTTATAGAGTTATACCAAAACCCTACATTAATTAGAGCCCTAACTAAATCCTAACCGGCCCATAGAACTTAATTAAATCCTGTGTCGGCTAAAGAAACTAAACCCTCAATTTTGAAAAATCGTTAATTAAAATACTTCCTAAATTACTTCCTAAATTAAAACCTTTAATAATCAATTAAATAAATAGAATGCAATTTAAACAAATAAATAGATACCAATTAAATACACGTCACACAGGTAAACAATTAAATAAAATAATTAAACCAAATAATCATGCAAAAATTCAACAAAAATAATAAATAAATGCCGAGACTATCCTTTTAAATTAGGGGTATTACAGTCTGCGCTCAGAACGCCAATTTTTAATTAGTAAAAACTTTCACATGGTGGCGTGGTGTGTGCCTGAAGTGTGGTTCATAAACTCGATAATCCATATTGTGATATCCTAGATTTGTATTTATTTCATTATTTGTTCATCCATGTCTAGTTAAGTAAATTACTTCAGACATGGGTTGTAGCTAATCACACAACAATGGAAGAAACTGGAATAAAGGACTTAAGGCTTTGAGAAAATTTTGGTGAATATGTAATTGGGTTGAGATATATACTCTTCTGGTGGAAGCCGGACAAATTCTTGAAATCTGAGTGAACATAATCAAGAATAATTGATGGTGGTAGAAAGTCCAAGAATTTAAAATCAGAGTAAATTGAAGTTGAAATAGGAAGTGCAAAAGAAAAAAAATAAAATAAAATAGAGGGTTTAGAATGAAAATAATAATAATATTTGGAAGCTTCATTCTCTCTCTGTATATATAGATACATATACAGATTGGAATTTGAGAACAGAATAAAGAAATAGGTAAAGAAGAGGACACGTGTATTCAACTTAATATATGTGTGTATATATATATATATAGGTGACGTGTCACACAAATATAGTGTCCATCACTTACACATGCAAATATAAAGACACGTATATTCAGAATATGGAAATTGAAAGGCTTCCTAGACAAGTTTTTACCAAAGCTGATTCATATGAAGTTGATGTGAGATACAGAATTAGTATAAGAACATTTGAAGGAAAAGGAGCAAAGGTTTAATCGAGAAGACATAGGGAGCTTAAGACACGGCCACAAAAAGAGAGAGAGAGAGAGAGAGAGAGAGAGAGAAGGGAAGAAGAAAAAGGAAAGCAGAAAAGGAGTCTAACAAAGCTGTAGGTTTTCCCTTCTCTGTTAAATTTCTTGAAAAATAAATTGTTAGTTTCAAATTGCTAAATTGCTAGAAATTTTTACAAAGTTGTTTTCTCTCACATGCCAGCTATGAGATTTGATTATCAACTTGTTTCTTTAGCATGAAAAGTGGTTCTGACTCATTAGACCTTGAATTGCATTTGAGCATTGGAATATATATATATATAAATGAACAGAACAACAGGGGTTTAGGGCTGAATTTATCTTACTTGTATTGTTATTTTTTAATTGAAAATTTGAGAAATTAAAGTACACTGGTAAATGAGTTTGTGGAATTTTATTTGACTCAAATTGGTTGAGATTTCAATTTGTTATGAAAATTTGAAGTTTGGTAAAATCTGCCTCGAAAAACTGAGTTTTAGAACAGAATTCTCCATTGTTTTCTTCTAAAACTGACTTGATCTGTGACTCTATTTATAAAAATAATTTACTGATACTAAAGTATGGTCAGTTATATTTAGTTTCATTCAATTTGAGTTAGTATGCTATTTTTGGTGAATTTTATGCAGATAACATGTTTTTGCTGCGTAATTTCTGAGTTTTGGACAACAGTGTTTTTTGATAAATTTTATTCCATATTTATTGTTGAAATTTGGGAACGAGACTTTGATAAATGAAAGTTAAAAAATAAAAAATAAAAAAAATACTGAAGTTCCTCCAGAATTTTATGTTGTCCAGAAATATGATACGTATGATTTTAGTAAATTTTGAAGATATTACAGTGAAGAATGACAGCATGTTTGTTCTTCATGTTGGATTTGGTTTTGGTCATTCAATTGTGTATGTGTCTGGCATGAAGTAGGTAGGATAAGAGTTTCCCTTGGGTTGAAAGACCCTAAACGCCCCGGGTTCTAAGAGGGGGTGTCCACAGTCCCTGGTTGCGAGCCCCTTAAGCCAAAGGAGGGGGGCTGCGGTCCTGGGGGTACACTTTGTTGGACAAGTTGTTGTATAGATGATGACCTCGGATTTGTTGTTACGAAATGGATTACTTGGGTATTTTCTTGTAAGTTGAAACTAGAATTTGGAAAGTTTGCTCCAGTGTTTTCTTATGAGTTTGAATCTAAATGATATGAAATTTTGTAGTTGAAAAATATATGCTTGTTGGAATATTATTATATTTTTCTCTACTAAAATTCAACTGCTTAAGCCCACTGCTCAGTTCCTTTTTCTAAAAGTGCTAAAAAAAAAAAAATCTTTCAGGTGTTCAAAAAAGCTGGTTTTATACAAAAAGTTATTTGTTTTCAATAAATCCCGGAAACCTACTGGGCTCATGTAGCTCACTCTATTTTCTAAAACATTTCAGGTGTTAGAAGAGGTTGGCAAGCAATGAAGAACTATAGGGTGGCCTTGAAGTGTTTGATAAATTTTAGTTAAAAGATTTTAGCTCATTATTTACTCTTTGAGATTGACTAAGCATTATTTGAATGATGGAACATATTGGTGAGTTATGTTATTCGAACTTGAATTTTAACGTAATTTGGAATGGTTTAGAGATGATTTTGAGTCTTGGAGCAGTAAATGGTTTGAGAAAGAAAATTTGTTTTGGTGGTTTCTATGAATGGTGGTTGGCTCACGTGTGGTGGGGAGCAGGGCGTGACAGATGGTATCAGAGCCTTAGGTTCGAATACTCTAGCGGGGCAGTGGGAAGAGGTCTCGACCTCGGATTAGTTTGGGTGTTTAGGTGTAATAAGATATTGATTATTTCCTTTTTTTTATTGAGTTTAGAAGAAGCGATGCTATGTTTTGTGAGATTGCTGATTGCATTATTTGGCTAAAGTAATTGTGGATCTGTTTTGTGCCACATGATATGAGCTATATGTCAGATATGAGGTTTAAGGTCTTAGTTTTGGTAAAGTTGCTCTTTATCATCTTGGTTGAAACCTGAAAATGATATCCGACAATCTCTATAACTCTCATATTTATCATACTCGTCTGTGGATTTTAGATTTTCATCATATTTGATGTCTACTTGATGTGTGGCTGAACGCACACACCACGTTTGTTATTCAACATGAATTGAAAAGCTTACCACATATTTTTTTATCCAGATTGAAATTAAGCATTTTTCTCTGTAGTTTGCATTTTGCAACTTGGATCGGTTGATGTGTTGAACTGAGCAGAGCAAAGCTTCATGGGTCAGTTTAGCAGGAGTAAAATATTTGGCATTTTGATGATGTCCGCGATCATGTAGTTTGGGTGACAAATTTCTTTCTTGGGTTCATGTCCTCTTTCTGTCTTTTCTTTCCTCCTATTTTGAATACTTAAACTAGAAATCAAGTGTGACATCCAATGTGCTTCTCTATGGTCAAGTTTGGTTTGATAATATTGGAGGCTTTCTCATTGTTGCATCGATATTTTTATGTCAGTTGGATAGGTTTAATGCTGCCCTTTCTAGATTTTTCTCTAATCCCATCAATATTACTAAAAAAAAAAATCAAGTTGGGTCAAGTGAGGGGATTAATGCTTGAGAAAAAATTTATGCATACCAATTAATTTGATCTGATTAGGAATTTGGATATTGAGACTAGAATTGACTTGTTCAACTCAAGGTTGAAGCAAAGTCTTTAAGTTCACCTTGATTGGTTGCATAAGGTTGAAGCAAAATACTTAAGTTCATCTTCACTTTATAAGCACTTGTTCACTTCGCCTATCCTGTTATAATTTTATGGACACTCTCTTCAAATCCTTCACCTGAAAAGATCTTAAGTTTTATGGTCTACTAAGGTCGTAAACAGTGCTTGTGGGATTAGGGTTTGAAAAGATGGAAGAGGGTAACATTCATGTATGGAGAGGGGAAGGAATTCAGCTTGAGGAGATAGGAGACTAATTGCTTAGATTATATGTGTGTGTAAAGTAGTTGCTGGATTCTGAAGGCACAACAATCGTGGTGTTTGGAATATATAGTTTATACGAGTGTGTGTATATTGATTGTAATCTGAGTGCTACTTCAGAATGAGAATGAACAGAGAGAAGTCAGAGAGAGAACACGATGGCATATGTGGTTCTCAGAGTTGATGGTGATGGGTTTAGAGTAGAGAGAACATATACAGTTGAAATAGGTGTTTTTTTTGGACATTTGACATTACTTATTTCCCCGTTACGTTTTGCACTTTCCACACCACCACAGGCAAAATTTGCATTATTTCCGGCTGCTGGCAATTTTAATGAGCTCTGTCATTGTCATGCTAGCACAGAGCCTTCTGGACTTTCAGCCTTTACACTATCAATGTTAGTCTTAGACACAGAATTGCTAGTGAGCATCCCATGCTGTGGACATCGTTGCAATGGATTTTGCAACAGAATCCAGAAGAACACTAAAAGGAATCTGCTCAAGAAGCTACATGAGATCATCAAGATCATATGATGTACTGGTGTCCTTTTCACATTGTCTTAAGATTCAGGTGAGTAAAACAATACTTAGTATGTAGAGCTGGACTCGGTAGTCAGAACATAACATGAAGGAGGAACTATGGGAGCCCGAGCCTTTTGATAATTTGGCCATAAAAAGCGTCATTACCTAGAGTGGTTCTTAGGGTACTGGGAGGGATAGACTGGATGTAGACATAACAATTGGCATTGTGCAAATGACCATCTTAGTTTTTATACTTTTTATTAACTTTTTGGTGAGAGTTCTTGGAGATTCCGATTTGATTTGCTTTGTTGTCATTCTTTTGTTTACTTTGTTCTGCTGATAGTGGGAATGAAAAGTATCTGTTTCCGTTCCCATCTTTGAAACCAAACTAATCTACTTGGTTTGAGCGTTGCAGTCTCTTTCCCATATGGCCATGAGTATGCCTCTGTGACTAATAATAAAGCTGTTGTTTTCCCCTTCATCACTAATGATTCAATTGCTAGGAAAGAGGGAGAGCATGAAGAAGGCAAAAGTAGGAGGAATGGAAGAGTTATTCCGATAAAGGAATGAGTTTCTCTTACTGTTTTCTGATTGAGTAGAAATGAAATAAAGGGAAAGAGTGACACCTGGTTTGCTTAATTCCATAATTAAAAAGATGCCCTTTGGAAGAATAAAAATGTAAAAGAAAATGAATAAAGATGCTTTCGAATTTACCGGGAAAAAAATAAAGATGCTTTTGCATTCATCCTAGTCATAAGAAGTAGAGCTATAGTACGTCCGAAGGGAAATGCCAGCCATCCTCCCAACTTGTCCCTCTCCTTTTCTCTAAAAAGGCTAGTCTAGTGCACGAGCCTCTCACCATTATAGGATTTAGGGAGAGTCAAATGTACGCAACCTTACCTTAGCATGTGGGGAGGCTACTTCCTTGATTCGAACCGGTGAATTCCAAGTTACAGTGGAGTTGTGCCAAGTCCCACTTTCTTCTTCTCCATCAGTTAGTAAAGTAAGAAATTTTCAATTTCCTTCTGTTCCCTTTCATCCTTCCTTCTTACTGAGCAAGCTTGTGACAAGTCATTAGGATAGGGGAAATAAAGAAAAAAAGAAAAAGAAAAATAGTATGTATGTTTGGTTCAGTTTCAGAGAACAGTTTTTTATTTTCAGACAACTGACAATGTATGAAATTTGTTTGGTTGACAGTTTTTGTTTTATTTTCCCGAAAATTCAAATGAAAAAAGATATGTTTTCAGAGAATAAGGCCTTGCTTGGATTGTAACTCAAAAAACAGCTTTCTGTTTTTTGAGTGACAAAAACTAAGAAAGCTGGTTTATAATATGCTTGGATCTCTTTTTAGAGAATAGTTCTCAAAAAACCGAATCACTAGAGTATGAGTTTTAGAGAACAGCTTGAACAAGTTCTCAGAGTTTTGGGAATAGAGTTTCCATCTTTGAGAAAACACGGAGAACTCCTCCAACTTAAAATGACTGAACTTACCCTGGTCGTTTAAAACATCGTCCGTTCCTCAGCCACAAATTCCCCTCTCTAGACCTGCAAATCAACTCTTCCTCATCTCTCCCAGTACCTTATGTTCGACTCTCGCTACCTATCTTCAGCATCTACATGTAATCATCCATCCCTCTTTCTCTCAAAGATTTTTGGTTCGTTTTTTTTTTTTTTTTTTCAAAAATACAAGATTCACTCTAATCTTATATTCAATTTCGTAAAGATAACTTCAATTTGCCTTTTTTTTTTTTTTTTTCCTTTTTCTTTCTCTCGTTCTATTGTCAATTTTGTTGGCCGAGTTTGCATTTCTTTAATGTCTGGGTGTCTGGGTTTCTCTTTTGTTGGCTGGATTTCTCTATTTGTATTCATGTAATATATATATGCATATATATATATATGTGTGTGTGTGTATATATATATATAACGTCCCTAGGCCCTTTGTCTTGTAGACTGAGAACTCTTGGAGAACTTAAAATCGATGTAACAAATAGTTGGTCCTATTCAAAAAATAAATTGGCAGAATCCATCTTTATTTTTTTCCCCTTTTTGAGAACTTGTGAACAGAGAACTATGCATTTCTTTTTCTTGTGAAAGGAGAACTCTTGGACAATGCTATGACTATGTATATGTGTGTCAAATGTACATGTGATCTTTGTTTGCAGAGAGTCTCATCAGATCAAACCCAACGGTGGTTTTGGACTGATATATTTATTTGAGAGTATAGATCCTACAAGTGGTTCGTGTTAATTAACTATTTGTTCATTGGTCAAAATGACAAGGTGATAGTTTTTAATGAAGTACGAAGAGGATCTAGATTTAATTTATTAAGGAAATGCTAGCCGTAGTCAAGTTCTCTGAATCAAGTAAATTTTAGTGAAGTAAGCAAAAGAAGTCATGGCCTCATGGGATAGAATCACGTATGTTACAAGTGATGCTCATCCAACTTCTGTATAGGTGATGCCATTTTTATTTATTTTTTTCATGCCATCCTATGAAGGGAAGAAATATATGCTTGTTCTATTGATTGCCTTTTAATACTGCTCTATTCGTTTTTTAAATTCATCTTCTTCTTTCTCTCTTATAGAGGCATAGCAATGTGATGAGTTTGAAAAATTGATTCTGTTATTAATAAATTGCTCTTTGCTGCCTATATATACTTCATTTAAGATTGAGAGGAATAGAGCTTTTTCCCTCCAAAAAACTCGAAGATAACAACACTGGTAACGCTTGTTTGGGAGAGATGGAATTTGCCTGAGAGCATTTTCAGATAATTGTAGTGGTATTTTCCCTCTTTACTCATTCTTGGTTTTTCGTGCCGTGTGCTATTTTATTTTATTTTTGGCAAGCTTTGTTCCTTCAGTTGTTAGGTTTTTAAGGGATGACTACATATGAGGAAGTATGGTACACTTTGAATGTTGCTGATTTCTGTGTGCAAAAGCTGATTTTGGTGGTTGTATGTAGAGGAGGTTGTATGTACATTGTGGTATTGGAAGTGTTGCTCAGTCTTCAACTGGATGTTGTGCTACAACCTATTGTTGTTGTCCCCGGGATGTTTTTTTGGCTTTATTTGCTGAGTTCGAGTCCGTTTGTGGGCAAAAAATGTGTGTTTCTTGCCAATTTTTTTTTTTTTTTTTTTTAAAGTGTCATTCTAGACAATTTTACGTCCTCTATTTATTTATTTATTATTTTTATATTTATATATTTAGTTTCTTTTGGTCTTGCTATTTTGTTTGGGGCCCCATTTTGGTTTGTAATTTTTTTTTTTTCATGAGTTGTTTATTTGTTTTCCTGGGGAAATGCCCCATGAGTTGATTGTTGTACGAACTTTCAAAAAGAAAATTTGTTACCTGCTAAGCCTTCAAGGAAAGAAAAAAACTGCACCCAATTATGTAGGTAGACATTGAATTCATGTAATCTTCTGAATGAAAGAAGTCCAAAAATAGAAGAAAGTTTCAAGTTTGCAACACAATTTGTGCGACTCCTACTCATGTATATCTTCTTCTTCTTTTTTTTTTTTTTTTTTTTTTTTTTTTTTTTTTTTGACATTACTCAATGGCCTAGTTGGTGGATTGTCCATTTTCCCGAGCGGGTATACCCGTGTTCAAATTCCCTTTCCCTTAGTTTGACAGGAAAAAAAATGTATAAATTAACATCTCAAAATTAAATAAATAAAGGAGTGGTGTGTTCTTAGGTAAAAAAAAAATTTCAATTGGTACAACCAAACTGATTTATGAGTTTTTGTTCTCTAACAATAGTTTTGTGGTTTTTTCAACTGATTTTTAGATTCAAAAATTTTAAAATTGTTTTCTGATTCTCTAAAAATTGTTTCTGAAAATTGAAAATAAATCCAAACAGGGCACTAACTTTTAAAGTTCTCGAAAAACTGTTTTTTATTACCCTAGAATGTTTAAGAAAATTAACCAAACGGGCCCAAAATATTAAAATTAAGAGTAGTTTTCAATGAGCTGCCCTTGTTGTATCAACCTCCCAGATGTCTTCCTTTCAACATCAAAATGAAACAATATTATTGGAGATATCAATATCACGTTGCAGATGTAAATTGAGCACTTGCAATCAAGGTCGTCACCATAATTGTAAAATCACTTTCACGTGTTGGGGTCTCAGTGATCTCATAATAATTGTTTTAAAATAAAATGTCCTCTTACATTTGTTGGTATGGTATACAATCAATATAAATAAAGAATAACAAAGTTAACAAAACAATAAGAAAAATCTGAGATTTTTTTTTTTTTTTTAGTATAATAATTTTTATTGTCTTAATCCTATTGTCTTGTGGTGATAATACAAAAGAATCTTATATGGTAAACTTTTTAAGATTTAACGAATGAGGCATTGATATTTTAATTGCAACAATAAATTAGTGTAGTCAGACCAAATGGTTTTCCCTATAAAAAATAATCATGGAAGAATTTTAGGTTGGAAATAGCATTTTTATTGTTGGTTTTAGGGTAGTCCCTTTTTTTGGAATTTATAGGACGGTAAGAAGTTAAAACCAGACTGATAATAGTATTTTATCATTTCATTCAATTAATCTACGGGACTTGTGTAAGGCGCCTCTCATACAGATTAGGTAAAATTTGGATTATATTTGTGGGCGTGGCCCATAAGAAATTGTTTACAGGAATCGATTATGAGACCTGATACTTCATGAAACAACCCAAATCTTTTCCAACTAGACCAATCCCTTGTGGTTAGGAGGGTAATTCTTTTGACTTTTTATAAATTAACCTACGGGACTCGTGCAAGGCGCCTCTCATACCGATCAGGTAAAATTTGGATTATATTTGTGGGCGTGGCTCATAAGAAATTGTTTGCATCTGACAAGAATCGATTATGAGACCTGGTACTTCATGAGGCAGCTCAAATCTTTTCCAACTAGACCAACCCCTTGGGGTTTAGAAGGGTAATTCTTTTGGCTTTTTATGAATTAATCTACGGGACTCGTGCAAGGCGCCTCTCATACATATCAGGTAAAATTTGGATTATATTTGTGGGTGTGGCCGATAAGAAATTGTTTGCATCTGACATTAATCGATTATGAGACCTGGTATTTCATGATGCAGTCCAAATCTTTCCAACTAGACCAACCCCTTGGGGTTAGGAGGGTAATTCTTTTGGCTTTTTATGATGCTAATTGGGGTTAATCTTCTTTTTTGAAGCAATTGTGCATAGATAGCATATTGAGTCCAGTCTTACATGCACTAGACAGTTATCAAATTTTTTTCTTAGGGGTAGTTCGAAGACGATTCGAACTTCCAACCTCCAAAGGCAATCTTTACCATTAAGGCTATCCCCTATATTGAGTTTGGTTATTTTAAAACATGAAATTAGAACCTTCAATTGAAATTTAAGATCCTAGTTGTAGCCTATGATATTTCTTTACCTTTCTAAATGGAAAGTTGAAGGTTATGTAAAACAAAAAAAATGGAGTATATGAATTTTTTGCCAAATTTTTTTTTTGAAGTAGAAGAAAAAATATTGCATTAAATTGCATTTTCTTCTACTTCAAGAAATTTTTTTTACTTCTACTTCAAGAAAAAAAATTTGAAGTCAGAAGAAAAAATAAAAAAATAAAAAAACTTGTGTTGTTTTTTGTTTTATTTATTAATTTTAAATGACCATAAGACAACTTGCATTTGACAATAAGACAACTTGCATTTCAGATTTTCAGTCATGGATCTTCCAATCCAACCCAACAAGAGAAAGCTAAAAGCTGGTAATTATGGTTATTTTCATAAAGACTTCAAGTTCAAGCGTGGACCTTCTGTAATTAAATCCAGCACTCCAACACCCTAGTTGGAACATTTATATATATATATATATATATATATATATATATATATATATATAATCAAACACACGAACACTCATACAGTCAAACTTGTGCATTTTATATATGTATATATATAAGAATTCAGTTGGTATTCATTATTAGTAGACAACCAATACACTATCATTGATCTTGTGTAACCTAACCTAAGACCTAACTGCAAAATTATACCTAGTACCAGCTACATTATACCTAGTACCAGTAGCTGCTAAGCTCATTTTCATATGACATCAATGACATTTAATTATTACACAATTTGCATTTCAAGTGTATATGTAGTAAATCTTTTAGCACCCAACATCAGCAAAATCTGTCAACAAAGACCTCTCTCTCTCTCTCTCTCTCTCTCTATATATATATATATATATTTTTTTTTTTTTTCTTCCAGAATTTAATTTTTTTTATTTATTTGTAATCTAGTTGTTGTAACCATAAGGGTTATGTTGGGTGATGTTATATGATAAATTAAAGCAGTCATTACTATTTTTATGCACAAGTTGGACTAGTTGCTGAACTTCATTTCCATATGAAACCAATAGGCTAATATCTATATGTTTCAATTCAATGACAGAGGTGAAATATAATTCTTTGTGTGGAAGTTTTAAAAATAGAATGAGGATTCTTTACAATACAGTACACATTAAATTATACAATTTACAGTATACTGTAAATTTGTCCAATCATTTTTCAACTCTAGCACTATTTATAAAATTATACTTTTATATTAATAGATATTCGATACTCCCGGTACACGGTGTCAGGTCCTTCGACCACAAATTCAATCACAGTGAGTCCAGTGACCTGAGTGGGGCCTTCAAGTTTTGAGGGCTGTTTGAAGTGTGGTCTTAGTCTGATTTCTTTGGACGACTGAAAAGTTCAATAAACTTTATTACTATTTTCTTTTCTTTTTTTTTTTTTCTGCAAGAATTTGATTCATGTTTGTCCCCAAGAATTTCTATGAAGTGGATATGTTAATAAGTGGAAATAAATGGATATGTTTAATACTTTCATTTCTTTCATAAATTTCAGTCCATTAATTGGATTCAATATGGATTTTTAGTTGAATTTTCAATAAGTTCTAAAGTTGAATTCAAACTTAACTCGAACTGTTTGCGAATCAGATTAGCTTAGTTTATACTAAAATAAAATGTTATTTTTAAAATATATATATCATTATTTTTTCTTTAAAACCTTACTATCTTTATTACTTTGGTTATTAAGAGTTATATATAAAGCTTTTGAAATTACCAAAATAATAATAATAATCATATAAAATAAAACTACAAAACACTTGTTCTTCATCTGTTAGCCTACACAAATTGAGAGTAGCACGGTATAAATTTGGCTTTGTTGAAGCAATGAGTTCATGATTGAGGAGGTTTGGTTAATTGTAAAAATCTCTTCAACTGATGTTGTTGTTGTTATTCTTATTATTGTTATTATTTTTAATTTAATTTTATTATTATTATTATTATTATTATTATTATTTTGTAGCCTACTCTTTTGTGCTTAAATTTTTTTTCGGTGGACTTTGAGGCTGTAAATGAACAGATCTATTTATAAAAAGCTCGGGTTCGGCTTATTTAAGACTTGGTTCAGGCTCATTGCAAACGAACCAAATTTGAGTTCATCCTTAATTTCTAAACTCGTTTAGTAAACGAGCCGAACCTGAACAATAATGGACTCAGCTCATGTAGGCTCGTTTATTTTCGTAAACATAAGCTCATATAAGGTTCACAAACACGTTCATAAATATATGCTTTTAACAAATCATAAATACCTTCGTAAACATAAGTGTATAAGCTTTTTATATGAGTTCAAGAATAAGTTAAAACAATTTTAAACACAAGCTCAAATCAAGCTTGATTTTTGTTATTAAATAAACTGAACTCCAACTTTTTAAAATAATGAATCTAAACTCAATTTTTTTAATTTGTCACAATTTCTAGCCGAGTCAGCAACCCTTATTAAAGCTTGGAACTAATAATGTGGAGGAGCAAACAACCTTTAGTCAGTCTATCAATAAAAGGGTCACAAAATTACAAACAACCTTTCTGAATTATCTTTTGACCAAATATGCTAGCATAAAAACGTAATTCAAAATGAAGTTTATATCACTCTCTCTGTTCCTCTGTATTTTGAAATATACATAGGTCATACAAGCTTATAAACATGGACGATCTATCATTTTATTATTATTATTATTTTTGCAAATTACTCCTACATATAAAAAAAAAAAAAAAAAAAAAAAAAAAAAAACAGAAGAAGTCAGAATGGGATTTTTAATGTGACCATTTGGCCTGCAGTCATGATACTCACGTGAAAGAGCTGCAATTGATTGTTGAACCAAATTATTTTGATTAGCTATATATGCACAATATAAATAAGTGGAGTGTCTTGTCTCACTCTTTTAAATATGTAGTATTGCATAGATAACCAATTAAAAACAGTAAATCTAACAATTCACTATAACAATTGGATGTAAAAATTATTTTCCTTTGATCATTTATTATTTTCAAAAACTACTTTTAATATAATAAAATTAAAACCCATCCTCTTGATAAGTTAAATTCTCCAAAAGCAACTTTTAATTTTGGAGGAGGGAGTAATAAACAGTGCACTAGATTATTTTGTGATTTAATCCTTTGATTATTAACAAAAAGTTTGGTTTTTTTTTTTTTTTTTTTTTTTTGATGGGTTGCTTTCATTTGTAGTGCTAATGGTTAATGTCATTAAATAAAAATAAAAAAACTCCATAAAAGATACCCAAAAAAAAAAGAAAAAAAAAAGAAAAGAAAAAGAAAAAAAAAAAAGGAATGAATGGGGACAACAACAAGACACGCACAAGAGTTGAAGTGAAGGTAAAGTTGCCTTGACATTGGGTTGCCACACTCACACTCTTCCTTCTCCCTCTGTTCCTCAGAACAAAACCAACCCAGAGAAGAAAACACACACAGACACCAACCAAAATCCAAAACTCTTTAAGACATAGAAACTCCCACACACACACTCTTTCTGTGTGTGTATATATATACTATATATCTATATATAATTATATATATAGAGAGAAAACCAGCCACGTCACTCCTTCTCTAAATCTTAAATCCCAAACCAACTTTCAACACCACCACTCTCACTCTCACTCTCTCTCTCTCCTTTCCAATCCATTCCGTGTCTTTTTGAATTTGTTTAACGACTATGTTGACCCAGTGATTCTCTCTCCTGCTGTACGTGTATATAATGTTAATCCGCATATAAATTTAGAGAGAGAAAGAGAAATGGGGAATTCTTTCGGGTGCTCGGCGTCCGGGGAGAGGCTGGTGTCTGCCGCCAGAGACGGCGATCTTGTGGAAGCGAAGATGTTGCTTGACTGCAACCCTTGCCTTGCCAAGTACTCCACATTCGGTGGCCTCAACTCTCCTCTACACTTCGCCGCCGCTAAAGGCCACATCGAGGTTTTCTATTTCCACCCTCACAAACCCATTAATTGTAGTAATCCATTTGATTGTGTGTCTGTATATTTAGTTATGTAGTTTTTGTGAACAGATTGTTGCATTGTTGCTTGACAATGGAGCTGATGTGAATTCCAGGAATTACTGTGGCCAGGTACAACAACATTTTGATTTTTGATTTTTCAAATTATTGGATGTTTTTCTCTGGGTGTTTTTTCTTAAGGTTGATTGATGGGAATTTTGAATTTTACTGCAGAAATTTGAATTTTGATTTGGTTATTTTATCTTATTTTATTTTATGAAATCAACTGAGTTATGTGTTTGATTGTGTAAATGTGTGTGTTTAAAGAAACTAGAGCTGGAAATTGTTATTGAATGGTTAGGAATTAGTGAATCTGTTGAATTCAAGAATCTGATTGGTGGGTGGTTGTGAAATTGTATTCGAAGACGGCGCTGATGCAAGCATGTAGATATGGGCACTGGGAAGTTGTACAGACTCTTCTGCTCTTCAGATGTAATGTAAGTTTCCTTTTCTTCTCGTATTTATTTATATATTTATTTTTAAATTGTCTCTTGTTCATTCTATTTGTTACTGAAACTTGATCCATTGAAGATTTTTATTACTACTGTTTTACAAGGCCAGTAGTAGTCTGTTTGCAAAAAAATATTTCTTACTTTGAGGATTTATCAAGAATTGATTAAATATACTTTCTACTTGTTTCAGGTCACAAGAGCAGACTATCTTAGTGGGAGGACGGCTCTCCATTTTGCAGCAGTGAATGGCCATGGTAGATGTATAAGGCTTGTGGTGGCTGATTTTGTTCCAAGTGTTCCTTTTGGATCGATAAATGCTCAAACAGATGGTGATAGAGGTGATGGTTCCAATATGAGAAACAAATATGACCACAGGTACATGATTTATCATGTTATATTGCATTTGTTCATTTTCGTTTGTAGTTTAATTCAAAATATTTGTTAACATGGCCAATAATTCAACTGGCTTTCATTGCATATCACCAACACAAGTTCAAACCTCACCGTCACCCTGAAAATTAAAATTGAAAAACACTTGTTGGACCAAAAGAAGGCCACACGTGAGGGTGTGTGTTGAAGGATTTAAATATTTAAGTTACATTCTCTCTAACAACTTAAGCTTTTGGAATAGATGGTTGATAACACTTTTGATAGATTGTTTCATCAAAGAAGAACTGTATCAAGTTTAATACCCAATGATAATGACTTCAGAGAATATAGTTGTCTAATTTGTGTGTCAAAAAAAAAAAAAAAAAACGGTTTGGTCTTTCCTTTCATTTATTTACTTTTTATTTATTTTATTCCAATGCAGTGCACTATCTAAGTTTGTAAATAAAGCAGCTGATGGTGGTATCACTGCTCTCCATATGGCTGCATTGAATGGGTATTTTGATTGTGTACAGCTCTTACTTGATCTTCATGCAAATGTGTCAGCTGTGACATTTCATTATGGAACTTCAATGGATTTGATAGGTATTTTGTTTGCTTGAGACTTGTATAATTGACTGCCATTATTTTCCTGAACTGTAAATAAAAATTTACATATAACTTTGCAGGTGCTGGAAGCACTCCTTTACACTATGCTGCTTGTGGAGGAAATTTGAAATGCTGTCAGGTGAGAATAAGTTCCACTCGTAATGATTTACCAAGTTTGATGCAGTTTGAAATGATGATGTTCTTATATCTGCAGATCCTCCTTGCAAGAGGTGCCAGTCGACTGGCCTTAAACTGCAATGGGTAATATATTGTGAATGAATACTCTCTGTGTTCAACCTTTGGCTGCTTCATATTGCTATTATTGCCTTTCTGCAAGTGGCATGGTTATGGCAACTTGTACATTCTTTCAGGTGGTTACCTCTTGATGTCGCCAGAATGTGGGGGCGTCATTGGCTCGAGCCACTGCTGGCACCTAATTCTAACTCGACAATTCCAGTGTTTCCGGCTTCTAATTTTATATCCCTGCCTCTTATGAGTGTACTTAACATAGCAAGGTAATTTGGAACTTTAGCCATTATTATACATGGAAAATTGTTCAATAGTTTTGCTTCCTAGGCAATATAATATTGAAAAGGAGTTCTTATTTTTCTATTGATAGTCTCCTGTTGGTTGCGTCTAAAGAGTGTTTTGTTTGTGAATGCAACGAGAAGGGTCGCAAAAAGGGCTAAATGAACACAGTTGTGCAAGAAATCTCACCCTTCATGCTTTTCTAGACACTTGTCCAATTAGAGATACCCTTAGTTGGATACCTGATCACTTCTCCCAACCCTTCCAAAACTCTGTGAGCACTCCTCATTCATTTCTCGTGTAACTCAACCATTCACATTGCTAGTATTTATTCCCTATACACTCCAAGCCATGGAAAAAGAAATCTAAAACAACAATTTTGTAAAGTGAACGAAGGAATATGTTGCATCCGGCACTCATTGCAGCAATTTTATATAATCATCTATTTTACATGGACTCTTCAAAAGTAGTGGAGTATCCATGCTGGACACATATTACTTGGACATGGTTATGGAATATGTGTCCAACACTTTTGGTTGGACATGTACTTAAAAAGCATATCCAATCATTCAATTATATTATATTATTACTTTAAAATGAGTTAAATGCCTATATTGAACATTATATTAGATAAAAACATTACTTTACTCTAGAAAATAAAATAAAATAATTAATAAAATGAATATTTAGCCGTGCCCGTGTTTCCTTCAGTTTGGAGATTTGACACGTCCAACTCATGGATACATACCCATACCCGAGTCCATGTAACATAGGTAATGATGTGTTAGAAAATGCATTGCATCTTCCCCCACCCAAACTCTAAGAAATATCTTCTTCCTCTCACTAGTGTTTATTTCCAATTAGGTTTTACTCCTCACTTCTGTTAATGACAGTTGTTTTGGTTTTACACAACTTTTTTGTTTACTGTGCTGTCATTTTTCTGTTGAAACATTAAAGATATTCAGAGATTGGAAAATGATATTGAAGATTTTATATGCAAATGATAATGTAAATGCCTACATAGTTGTATCTGTAAGCTTTTTAGTATGCATTATCATAGTACTTAGGAATTAGGATCATATCCTTGTCAAGCTCTTGGTGTGATGAAATGCTTCTACTCGTATGCTGTGAAAGATGAATTTCCATGTTTGAGCCTCCAACTACTAGTTGAATGTGCATCTATTCTGAAAGTTTATCATGGGTTAACTCATCAAAGGGTTCAGACTTCCTGTTTAGCTATACTTGGCTCACTTGTTTTTCAGCTTAAAGCTTAGGATATGTTTTGAACGAAGTTTTATTGAAGGGTTAAGACTTCCCTTTGGAAGACAATTTGCTCATTTAATGGAATTATTATAATCTCCTTTCGCTAGTTTATGAAGTTCAAACAGCTGTGTTCCTTGGAGCATCATAATTAGTCTGGTTGATCTGCACAATGAGAACTTTGACTTGTAGGGAGTAATTGTTTTGAAACAAGACATTGTCAATTAAAATTAACACTGAAAATGACATCCTGTGTGGTCATCCTTTCCAGAGAGTGTGGATTGCAGTCCTCAACTATCTGTTGTGATGACATTGAAATTTGTGCTGTATGCCTGGAGAGAACATGTACTGTAGCTGCTGAAGGTCAGTTATTTCTTTCTCTGTTTATGTTTCCTATTAACATTTGAGGTTTGCCTGGGATACTTGTGATTATAGTGTGACGGTTTATGCCATTGTAGCTCAAAATTCAAATGATAGCTTTATATAATTTTGTAATAGTTGTTTATACATGATCCACTGCTGTGAAGATTTTAGGAAATTTGTCCAGGCCTTTGGGGGCGGGGTTGGGCTATCCTTCTTGTTGTTTCAATTTCACTAGTTAAAATTATCATAAGAGTTCCTATAGATTACATTGAATCTAGGGGAACTCTTATGATCATTGATTAATCTACTTGTTGCATTTGCATTATTAAGTACAGAGAATGCAAACTCAGTAATAGACTACTGTATATATCCTTCAGTGATATTACTGGTCTCTTCAGAATGCATCCCTATTAATTATGAACTTGGTAGTCATGAATCCAAAGTACAGTTTTGAACTTTCTGAGAGTATCCAATACTTTGATTAATCCATTTCAGAGTTTCATTTTAGGCATCGATTTGGAAGTGAGAGATTAGTTCATCTTCCTGGTCTTATTGTGAATACTAGTAGTTACCTCTAAAGAACCTTTTTGTTACCGGTATTGCTTAAACCCATACTGTGATCTTCTGTTGTGGTAGAATTCAATGAATGGCTTGTGAATTTGAAGAATGGGAGCGAGGAGACCTTTATTCATTTTACCTAGCCAATATCCTAACTTATTAATCCTCTTGCAAAGAGTGCATGTTAGTTACGTCATATAATAGAGGAATACTACCTAGTTTTTTCTTTCTCATCTGGTGGGGTGAGAGTAGGAATTCACTTTACCTTGTTTTCTTTATGGACAACCAAACATCCCTTCCCAGAAAGTGTTAAAGACACCTGTGGGATGGGATTGGATGATGCTTTGAATGAAAGAATGATCAATAATATCAAAGTATATTGTCTCCTGCTTGCACTGAGAAATCCAAAAGAAATTGCATATCCGCTATTCATAGGAGATAAATGAGACTGGATATAATGATAATTCAAAAGAATTCAACTCCTACAAAATTGATGAAAAGGGATTGATTATCAAACCTTTTTTTGTTAATGATGGACAATTCATTTATCAAACCCTAGGTATTTCATTGATTCATAAGAGGAAACACCAAAATAATAAAAGATAGTGAGAAAAAATATATCTTGATAAAAATAATTTTGATGAATTCATCCAAAACATCAGTAGATAACTGGATGCTTTCTTGGTATCTGTGTCTGGGCTTATTGGGACTATAGGAGCTTTTTGGAACGTACTAAACCACCTAATTGCCAAATGGGTACACGGGTGCTATGAAAGCAACTTTTTGTTTCTCTTGTTGGTCATTGAAAACTAGGGGCTTGGCTTTATCTGCCTTCTGGTTGAAGAAGATCCTTACATTGTTGTCAGGCCTGGCTAGTAAGAGATCTTAGGGTTTTGAAGAGATTTTTATTTGCTCCAGGAAATCCTAGACATTGCACATTTCAAGTGATTTTTATTTACTTTTCCCATTATTAACATGTTATTCTTGTCAAATGAACATGTTGTTTCTAGATATAGGATGGCAGTTACTACTTTAAATCATGGTACCCCATAGCAAATTTATTATATTTTCCTTTAGTTTGATTTATATTTGTTAGCAGGGGGCATTTCTCCAGGTTTTAAATAAGATTGTTCTGAGTTAATCCTATCCTCTGAACATTTTCCTTATTTTTTTGTCCTGATGTGTGATCAATGGAAAGATAATAAAAAATGGTTCTTTTTGTTTCTTATTTCTTCTCCTTCCAGTTATTTCTTTAGACATTTGATCTTCAATATTCTCCTCATGGATGAATTTCGATACATTTATCTTACCCCCTCTTTACCCTCAATATCAATTTAAGGCATGTTTAGATGGATACAAATCTTCTGATTTGGCTTCTTTCCTTAGTCTAGTCTCTTCAAGTATAGCCATTTTGTTTGCAGATATCATACACAACGAAACTCTTCCTTAATGTTGCTAGTTTGAGCTAATTGTTGAAAGTTACCCGTCTTGCTGCTATTGTCCTCACTCCGTAGATGGTCTTGATCAAGTCAATACAATTACATACTCTTGCAACTCCTTCCCAAAAATCCGTTGCATTATCTTTGTAGGACGTTGTCCTATGTTCCCATTGAAGCATTGTTTATTTAAATTTGCTATTTGTCGTGTGTAAAAGGTAGCTTCCACTCTGGATCTCTCTAGCTATGTTATCTAGAATTAGATACTTGTATCAGGTGTAGGCAAGTGTTTGAATGCCAAACATCCCTAATTGCAAGTTTTAGGGTACCGATACTCAGGTTGAAATGTGTCCAAAACTTGGATAAGATTACTTGTTCCTCCGTCTTTTCGGGGTTCATGGTTCTATCTTCCCGTGGAAGACGGTGTGGCGATCTAAGGCTCCTCTCAGAGTGGCATTGTTTGTGTGAACGGCAGTTTGGACCAAGATTCTATCCACGGACAATCTAAGAAAGAGAAGACAAATTACAGTCAATTGGTGTTGTTTGTGTATAAAGGATGGAGAGTTCGTGGATCACCTTCTTTTACATTGACCCGTGGTATCTCTTTTTTTTTGGTTTGTTCAACATCCAATGGGTTATGCCTCAGTTTGCGAGGGAGTTGTTTGATGCGTGGAGGGTATGCTGCGTTTGAGCACACGCTCGTGATTTTTGGAGGGGGAAGGAGCAAAATAGAAGATCTTTTGCAGGGGAGAAATCTTCCATTGGGCCTTGAAATATGTTATTATTAGTTCTCTTTTTCGTTGGGTAATGGGGAGAAATTGTATATCTATAGAGGAAATCGTTGATTTTTTGAGTTCTTTGGATCCTTAGGACCTCTTCCTTGGCTTCGGCCCTTGTATAGCTTTCAGGATGCGTTCCCCTTTTGAAGGCTCTCTAATATATTTTTTACTTATCAATATATATATATATTGTCAGACTAATAGATTTTAAAATAAAATACTAAATAATAATGTAAACTAAATGTAACCAGATGGAGTATGGTTAAAAGGAGAGAAATTCCCTCCTATTTCATAAGAGGGAAATCTTCTTTGCTATCAAACTTGATTATTTTTTCTTCTTCCATCATCATAGTTGGAGTGTCCGATTTATGTACGTGTTTTGGACACATATTTCATACCAATGTCCGTGTTGTGTCATGTTGACACGAGTGGTTTGAGGGAACAGGATTTAATTCTCTAAGCATAAGCTAGAGCTGACAAAATTCTTCTTGACCTGCCAACCTGCTCAAATCTGCCCGCTCTTTAATGGATTTGGGTGAACCATCTTGAAATACTATTCAAAAATGGGTTGTGAAAGTTGGACCCAATTTTATGGAGGATTTAAATGGGTTGAATATCCCCTATTCGACTCATATTTCACCCATTCTATAAGAGACCTAGATAGATATCCCAGCCAAAGAAACATTCATACTACCTCACCCCCTCTCCCTCTTAGATTCTCTCAGTGTGTCACGATCCTCTCTCTCTAAGATTCTCTTCCTCTCTCTCTCTCTATATGTATATCACGATCCTCCTAAGATTCTCTCTATATCATGATTCTCTCTCTTCGGCTCTTTCGCGACCCCCCTTAAGTTAAAAAATCATCATATAATTATCCAGAAATTGCAATAGAAAAGCTTTCTAAGATTCTCTCTAAGTGGAAGACCAATATGGATCTCTTCTTGATCTGTTCTCACTCTGGTTCTATAGGCTTGATTGGACTCCATTTCTTCTTTAAGTTTGTGTTGTTTTGAGACCTAGTTTGACTATCATACTTGCTTCTTGAAGACCCAGTTGAAGTGTCATGCAGACGTGAACATCATATTCGAATGGATGAAAGAGTCATATATTCCTTAATCCGCCTGATCATTACTCTTAATATATAACATAAAAAAAAATTCACCCCATTTTTATCCATTCAAATATTAACCAAATTAAGAACAACTTGAATTAAATAATAACAATAATTTTTTTTAAAAAAAAAAAAAAAAAAAAACGATTAATTAAGGTTCACCTAACCCGTTTTTAGTTCAACCATAGTCAACCTGGCTATTAGTTGAACCATATTCAACCCGGCATAAACATGAGGTCTAGGTAATTCTATGCATGTTACGGACGGCCACGTGTCTCACTTTAAGGTGAAGTCTGAAGTGTTGATTATTCTCCCCTTTCTTCCTAAATCCACTCCTTCCTAAATTACTAGAGCCGTGAATCAAATTCTTCATCGTACTCGATACAATATCCTAATTTCAAGTTAAGATATCAATAGATTAATATCAAAAAGGTAAAAGAAATCGTTGCTTGATGTGGAGCAAATGATCTCCCATCTCTATTTATAGACCAAGGGCATTATAATGAACGGCTTTCATCCATACAAATCTCGCCTATTCAACGATGGGTACAATTCTAGAATTTTAGAATGCTCCAATTCCTAAGATATTTACAAGGTTACTATACAATTCTAGAACAAAATCATTTATAATATGTATAGCATTGGATAAGTGTGAGACGTGTGAGCATCTCTCTCTCACTCACACACACACAAAAACACAGTTAAGAGTTTAGGGTCTGGATTGGTTAAGAGTTTTAGGGTGTTGCAGCTGGAGTGGTACTTTATGTTGCTTACAACACATTTCTTGGAATTGGAATAAAGTGGTCTTCTATGCGAGTCTACACACTAAAATTTTAGAGCTGAGTTTGTTAAATTTCTACAACGAGTTTATCTCTATGATGTGTAAGATGTCTTGTGTTTAATACACTTACGGGCACTTGTACAAAACTACTATCTTCGTGTTGGACGCCTACACTTGTACAAAACTACTATCTTCGTGTTAAACACTTGTACACTCTTTTCGTATTGGAGACCTTCTTGGACATCAACACTTCTTGACGCATGTCAGACACTTCATGGTCATGTCCATGATTTAAAAATAAATTTTCTTTGACTTAGCCACGGCATAAATTCTATTTCGCCGACTGTTTGTGAAGTCTGAAGATCAACTTGTTTGTTCACTGAAACGATATATATTCACCAGCTTGAAGAGGAGTGTTAGAATGTATATGAGTATTTTATATTTCTTGTGAGGGCATATTAGTCATTTTGTTATAATATCAATTATTATATATAAATACAAGGGAGAGTGATCGTAATACTCTCTCTCTGAAATTTCACAAACACTGCCTTTGCCCTTTCCTTTTTCTTTGAAATATAATTTCAATTAGTTGAATTGAGTTGGAACAGAGAATTAGGTTATTATTCAATTATTATTCTTCTTCCTTTTACGCAACTAAAATGGGGCTTTTAGCTTTTGATATTTTATAATGCTTAAACTGTTTGGCCTGAAAAAAGCTGGTGCCGGTTCCGATGGAACCGGATGAGCGTGCCAGGAACTGCAGTAGTTCCAAAGAGAGATCCAAACAATATTCTAGAAGGAAGACTGCATGACCAGACGATAATGAAGAGGTCTTGAATGACCACCTCTGGGTTCTTTTTGCCTTTGATAAAGGACTTCGGGATTGTTAACTGGCTAGGAAGAACTGAGCTACTTGAGAAAGTAATTGATTGAAAAGTAAGATTATCTAATGAAAAGTAAAGTGCAGGACTGAAACTAATCATATTGAAAGTGCATTGCAATGAGAATAAAGATTGTATTGAAATGCGCTTTTGGCGTTGAGCAGACCTTCTAAGTTACAATATCATGCCCTATTTATAGAATTTAGTAATGGTAGCTTGCATGTAACCGCTTAGTTCCTATGCTTCCATGTCTCCCATGACTTTGCATGTAACCGTTTGTAACCGCTTACTTCCTTGGCTGCCATGTGTCCCAAGACTTTCCACTGGAACATCATAGTACCTTTCCATTGGACCGACTAGCTTCTTAGGCTGTCATGTGTCCTATGACTTTGTATGTAACCGCCCACTTCCTAGGATGTGTCCCATGACTTTGCATGTAACCACTTACTTTCTAGGCTGCCATGTGTCCCATGACTTTGCATGTAACCGCTTGTTTCTTTGGCTGCCATGTGTCCCAAGACTTTCCACTAGAATGTCGTAGTAACTTTCCATTGGAATCGACCAGCTTGCTAGGCTGCCATGTGTCCCATGACTTTGCATGTAACCGCTCACTTTCTAGGCTGTCATGTGTCCCATGACTTTACATATAACCACTTGTAACCACTCACTTCCTAGGCTGTCATGCGTCCCATGACTTTACATGTAACCACTTGTAATCGTTTGCTTCCTTGGCTGCCATGCGTCCCAAGACTTTCCACTGGAATGTGGTAGTACCTTTCCATTGAAATCGACCAGGGTAATCTCCTACTGGAATGTGGAAAATAAGGGTGTAAACATAAACCATTAAGGTTCTCAATTTTAGTGAGGGAGGAAAGGAGGAAATGGAAAGAACAAAGAGTTTTTGTTTCTGATTCTTACAAGTTTCTCCATGTTTCCTCGCTTTTTTATAAGGAAAATTAGATTTTTCTCAAAGATAAAAATTGTTTCTCTTTTATTTATTTTTCTCTGTTTTCCAGCACAACCAAACATGGATTCTTCCCTTTTCCCCTCCTTGTTACCAAGTCTCAAAGCATAATTTGAGTTTCAGCTCTTCCCTTCCTCCTTGTCATGTTTTGATAACCTTTTTTTTTTCTTCCAAATTTCCTTTTTAGGTTAATAGTTAATGATTTTTGCTTGTGTATCTTTTTATTTCCCTCCCAAGTATTGAGGAAAACAGCTGATATTCTATCCATTGTTAAAATTTATCAAGCAAATTAAGTAATCATCCTTTATCTCTCAGGTTGCGGGCATGAGCTTTGTGTAAGATGCGCGCTCTATCTATGCTCAACAAGCAACATCCCTTCTGAATTACGGGGTCCTCCTGGGTCCATCCCATGTCCTCTTTGCCGACATGGCATTACATCTTTTCTCAAATTACCTGGTTCTCCTCCAGCAAAAGAAACCAAATTAGATCTGTCCCTTAGCCTGTGTACCCCGTGCATTCTTCACCCTCGCGAAGCAGATCGTTCAACACCAGCTTGTACACTGGACATTCGGAAGAATAGTGTAGCCTCCGTTTCTTCGGATCTTTTTTGCCCAGTTACTTGCAGCCCATTTCCTTCTGTTGCCATCCCTTTGTGCACATGCAGTGATGGACCATGCCCATCTTTCGAGCCCAGTGGGTTTGAAACACAAGATGAATCTCCTTGTCATTCACAGTCCCCCTGCCAGAACAAAGCCAGAGTGAGGCTGGAGAAAACTAGTTGTTCGGGGATGTTCTGGAGCAGAAGAAGCTGCAGCAGGGAGCATCAGTGCAACTCGGAAATAAATGCTTGATCTGGTTTGGTGGAATGTCCCATTCTTGTATCCAAGTGTGTGGAAGTCTTATACAAGCACAAAGTTACATTGTTATGATGTTTGTTTTCAACCCTCTCAAACGCTGAAATTTTCCAAAGTGGTGTTTGCTTCTGTATTCGGCTGGCTGCATGGCGATTGATCACGGCATTTTGGATTCTCGAGATATTTGAAGAAATGGTAGTGTGATTTTTGTATATTGGGAATATATATTGGTTGTAACACAATGTTATCACTTATCAATGGACAGACAATGTTTTTCAATCATGTTGAACTTTCATACTATAGGGGCATGGCCTAAGTGGAACCTTTAATAAGATGCAGCATGGCTACAGTTCTTGTTACTGTGTCGATGAAAACTCGATTTTCGTCGATGTTCATACATCATGATTCATGAAAAGCAGCCAACAAATAATGGAAGTGTGGAGTCTCTTAGAAATTAAAGCTTAGTTTTGAGTTTCAATTAGCAGTGTAAAGGTTTTTTGGTTTGCTGGAACATTAGGATTGAAAATATACTGATTTTGAACATTTTTTGTGCCGAACTAGTGAAAGATTCAGTCAGCATTATGGCTCCGTCTGTTTGTTTGGACATCTTAAAAAAATAAATTTTTATTGTTTTTTTTCAGATAAAATATATATTTTTTATTTTCCTGTGTTTGGCAAAACTTTGCATGAAATTGAGGTTGGGACATATAAAATAATTTGTCAAAATTTGATGGATAAATTATTTTTGTTAGGTTTTAATAATTTTTTTTTTCTTTAGAAGAACCACAAATCAATTTTTCTGAATATTGTTGTCTGGGGGATTGAAACCAATAAACCATAAACTTAAGTAACATTTTTGTAACTGGGGGACTAGCCTCGGAGTTTGGAAAATCAATTCTACTTAACCATTGGGGATCTTTATATGTGGATTCGGAGATGCTGCCAGAGGGGATCACTAGTGTCCGTCCTCTCAATGTGATGTCATGCAGTGGGAACACGCCCCACTCTCGTCCTCCGAATCAACTGGGGACCGTCACAGATTTATCTTTAATTTTTTTTTTAGTAATCTATACTCGTGAAATATTACATTTGTCCCTTCTGAATTTACTAAAAAAATACACTATTATCCCAAAAAATTCATTTTTGCCCCCCTTACCTTGCATCCTGGCTCGTTCCTGAGTGGGGAGATTCCTAAGAAATAAATAGGAAGGGCCTATATATACCAAGAGATGAAGTGGAGTATGCCAAAACCTATAACAAAAAAATTCATTTGGTGAGATAACAAGAAGGATCTGTGTTACCAAAGGGCCTTTGCCCAATGGTATAACCTTTCCATCTTCAAAGAAGAGGGGAGGGGTTCGAGCCCTGCATGGGTAAAAAAAATGTGTGTGTATTTACTTTACAATTCAAATATAAAATATAAAATAAAAACTCTGGGAGAAACTATGGGATTAGAATGCCCAGTGAAGGGATTTGGCCGAAGATCACTGCTATTAAATTTTTGGAGACTGTACCGTCTAGTGTGGTTGACACTACATTTATTAGATGTTAATTGGTTTTTATTCTATCAATTCGGTAAAATAGCTAATCCGTAGGAATCAGATAGGTCTTAAAAAAGCTAATGGATAAAATTTGTGTACTCATGAGTGAGTCAAAACGTAGTTCAATCACAAATATATAAATAATATAATCACAAATACACAAATAATATAATTACAAAATCTTAAAAATTAATAATTAAATAAATCAAAGAGGGTGATTGATATATATATATATATATTCCTTATGTATCACTTTTCTTATTTTGTAATTACAAATACTAATTATCAATACAATAAAAAATATTAAAAATCCAAAATTATAAAAAGTTGGAATCCCCAAAGAACCCAAAATTGGGAGGAACAACACTTGCTTACTCAAAAGTAATGTGACAAGTGTCCCTAAAATAAAAAATAATAAAAATTAAAAAAAAAATTGAATGCTTACCGGGTCAACCCAAAATAATGCAAATCAAATCATAATCTAAGTCTCTCCGCCTCTTTCTCTCTCTCAAACTACTACCTAAAATCCTAATATGCTAATACGGTAAGTTTTGACTTTTTTCTTTCATGGTTTAATATGTAATCCTTATACTATATATATTTGTCAATGGTTTGTATTTAAACTGTATAAATTTATCAGTTGTTTGTATCTAAAGTACACCCCATTACATAAAATCTGGCTCATGGTCTGATAGATATTTGTTGATTCATGATAAATTGTTATTACTTATTTCTTGTCTTCTTCTTCTTCTTCTTTTCTTCTTTTCTTTTTTTTTTTTTTTTTTTCAATAATTGGTTATTCTTTCTATTCATTTTTTATTTTATAAGATCCCTTTCTCATCCACTCTTTGAAAATCAGATTTGGATCATATTGGGTTTAATTCGGATAACCTCTCAAATCTTTTAATATTTATTATTTTATATTGCAAGTAAGCATTCCACTAATTTTGTCCTATATCAAGGTAAGTATGAAATTCTTGCTTTCCGTTAAGTAAACAAATATTGTCTTTCTGGGACAGAGAGAGTTGTAAAACTATTGGGCTGTTTATAAAAACCTAATATGGTTTCACGATTTGGATATGATCGGTTTCAGGCTTTCATCCAATCGGATTGTTCCAAATTTCTGGCTAGTGTTTATAATTCTTTGGATTAGATCAGTTTTAGGCTTTCATTCAATCGAATTGTTTTAAAGTTCAGGCTAGCATTTTTAATTCTTTTGATAGCTCTAACTATTATGTTATGTAAAATTATTAGATGGGCTTAATCTATTGACACTTGTGAACTAGTTAAATTCAGACTTATAAATGAGAAAACGATTCCACAATAATGTATTAATATGTTATAAAGAAATCTCAACATTAGTTTTCATTTGATTAATTCACCAAGTATCAAATGAACTAAGATAATCTAATAATTTCTGATATCGTTATGGCCGAATAAAATTGGCAAGCAAAGTGATCCCAATAAAATTGAGGACAGCAAGCTGAACAACTCTTCAAAAGCATGAAAAACTATTCTTCAAAGCTATTCTTGATTGGAAAAACTATTCTTGAAAGCCAAGACCTGAAACTGATACAAGCAAAAAAGTAAAAACTGATACAAGCATCCCTCTATTTCTTGAGTGGCAGCAGATTGAGGGAACCTAGAAGCATCCACAGAGCCATGTCCCATCAGCCTTTTCTTTGCCTCTTGGGAAAACAGTTGCACTTAACAGTTGGACTGTCCCAGCCCCAGCTTTGGAGAACCTTATGTGAATGCTCATTGGATGCACCTCTCTCTCTCTCACTCTCTCTCTCTCACACACACACACACACACTTCCAAATAAATCTATAGAAACCAAGACAGAATATGGAAGCCCTATTACAAATTCTTTTTGGCAAGTGGGGTATCCTATATTATAATATCAATGGCTTTCAATGGCTACCTAACCGCTGCTGAAATTTATTCTAACGGCCCAAAGATGCGAGCTTTCATACTCGACCATTGGTTCAAAGTTCAGTGCCCCAATTTGTTTGTATGGATTGGCTTTATTGGTAGTCTTCACAATCATTGAGCTTCCTAAATTTCTAATTGTACTTTAATGGGTGTCCAAGTCTCCTACACTTCCACGTTTTAGTAACCCCAAATTTCCTTTTCAGATTAAAGAAAAAGCAAAAAGCTAAAAAATTTATTATTTTGAGTGTGATTTACTAATTTTGGAATTTCTGATTTTGAGTGTAATTTACTAATTTTGGTACCATCCAGAAAAAAAGAGAGAGAACAAAATAGACGTTCTGTTTACTTCATACCACAAGAAAATGTTTTAATTGTCTCGAACACATATCTTTTCAACTATCAAGAAAGAGGGATACATCACAATCGTTTATCCCATACATATTCTCTAGAGATGGACAGTTACAATACTCTCTAGGGCGCTATGCATTAGAGGTGATTGCCATAATTGCTAAGGCACAACATCTGTTGTTGTTTCTAAAATTAAAGAAAATAAAAAACAAGAGAACAAGCCCTTTTTGATTTTTCTAAACCAACCAAAAATATTATAAAGTAGGAACTCCCAAGAAGCTACATGAATATGTCCCCCACAAAAAGGTTTGCCAAGCACGTGACTCCATTCGGCACGTGCTTTTCCCACGTGAGGACACTCCTACACCCTACACCTGTCCCCTGATTCATCATCACACTAGTCTAATCTCATTCGGTCGGCGACCGTGACACTGCCTCCGCCAAATCGTCTCCTGATCCCCACCGTTCTGATGATCGGACGGCTCTGATTTCACCACCTCCGTTCCGGGTTGCTGCAGTCGCAGCTCATGATCATGCTCCGCCGTCTCACCATCGCTTTCCCTCATCCGTTTCAACCCAAGAGCCACACCAAATATAATCGGGCTCGTCCCCGCCTCTCCCACCGGTTTTGCTTTCTTCCGGTTATCGTTACCGGCGGCGACGTCAGATTCGTCGGAAAGTTGCTTCACCGGTAGCAGATCGAGCGGTTTCGCCGCCGATGAACCGCTCTCCGGCTGATTACTCGCGTAATTCGACATCAAATTGTATATATTACTGCACAAACTCTTCATGTGACTCAACTCTCTGTTCAGCTGCATGTTTTCCTTCTTCAGCCTCTCGTTTTCATCCACCAGCTCCGCCGCACCGCAGCTCCCTTCTCGACGCAGCATGATACCCGCCGACGGCGGCGAGTTCGACGAGATTACTTGTTCCTCGCCGGAATTCGAAGGCGACACCATTTGCACCGTCGCCACCGGAATTGACGCCACCGTCGCCGCCGTAGCACCAGCTGCGACGGACGTCACGATTTTCCGGCGCTGAATATCACATAAAAGCCGTTTCTCGTTCCTTCGGAAGCAATCGTTCGAGAACTCCCACCTATCAGGTACGACCTTCCTAAATCCCTATCAAAACACACAGTATATCAAAATCAAAAACCACATCAATATTTAAAAAAATTTCTACGAAATGAAAAATTCAACGAAATTTAAACATACATAGGTGTTGAGTTGACGAACAAAACTGGAAAAATTATTGTGCTTGAAAAACTTAGGCAGCAAATCTCTAGCGAACTCCGTCGGATTCCAAACTATGAAGGTTGATCCGTCTTCGTTCCACGAGATCACATCGTCAATCGCACGATCATCGACGAGCTGATACGTTTTGGTCAAGAACGGCGTCGGAAGAGATCTCGGTGAATCGCCGTTCATCGCAGATCTTGATGCATCGCCGGCCGTCGATTCTCCGCCGGGCCTCGGCACCATCGCCGTCGCACCTAAACCAATCAAACACCATCAATACACATATACACACACACATATAAATAAAAAAAAACAAAAAAAAAACAGATAGAAGTAAAAGTCATACTTGAAAAGAATGATAATTAGAAGTAAAGATGAAGGAATTGAATCAGATCTGATAGAAATGAAACATCTAGAGAGAGAAAGGGAGAGGAATTGGAGAGACGTTGAGAGGCAACAATGCGTGCGTTGTTTTTGTTGAATTCTAGAAGGTTCGATATGCAACATATACAGATGGAGAAAGAGAAAGAGAGAGAGAGAGAGAAGGAATGGACGGATAAGAGAGAGGAGAGAGAGAGAATGGATTTTTCTTTTTTTTCTAAAAGGAGAAAATAGATAAGGAGAGAAAATAGAGTAAAAGATTGGAAAATTCTAGCGAAAAGAAAGGAAAGAACGAGAAAGTACGTTACGTCTTTTCGAGAAGTTTCACTTTCTTTTCTTATGCAGCAGCTATTATTATTTATTATTATTATACGTGTCGATGAATAAGAGGGTGCATACAACTCATTTGTTTCTGTCGGGTTCTATTAATAAAATAATACGACTAGTCAAAAAAATTAGGGCATGATAAATTTTTGATTTTTTTGTTAGCCCAATTCTAATTTTAGGATTCCCTCCGAGTCTTGAGAACTGTGACTCATCTCTATTCCGAGGTGGACTTGCAATATGAGACAGAGAGTATAAAATAACAATTCTGGAGGTATATTAATATGGTAAATTACATTGACTTATCTTAATATTTGAATAAATTATACCTGAGTAAATTTATTACTCTAATCTTCTCTAAACTCGTAAGTTTAATGGTCGAAAAGTGGTTTTGAGTTTGAGAAGTTAGTAATAATATATATTATATTGCAAGCGTGAAATCTTAGTGAGTCGATTAATAAACGCTGAATGGTTTACTCGTATGTAATTTATTCAAATTTACGAGAAAGTCAGTGTAATTTATCCATTCATATGAATGGTAATAACACCATTTGGTTCGAAAAATAATTGTGCAACACATTTAATTTAAAGATATAACACTCATGTAACACATTTACTTTAAGAATATAATACGTGCTATACAAAAATTAACTATAAAAAGAGTGCATTACAAAATTTTGTATGGGGAAGATTTGGTTATTGCAAGAAACTTGGATATGTCTTTATAATAGTATATTATGAGGGGCAACAAAATGAATGAAAAAGTAAATGCGTATGTATAGATTGAGTGTTAGCACCTTTTAATAGTTTAAGTCTTTGGGTCGGATTGCGAAGCACTCGGCTCGTTATAGTTGGTATTAGAGTCAAACTTAGTTCTTGATCCCTTGTGGGGGAGAATGTTACAAGGGAATATACCACTTAATAGTTTAAATAATAGTTTGGTACGAATTCATGGAATGGTATGAAATAAAATGTACAATCTATTCCAAACATTCCCTTGTTTGGTATGCCATTAAAAATGAAAATGACCATTATCTTGGAATGAAAATCCATTCCACATCTAAATTGATGAAATGAAAATTCATTCCAAGGAATGAAATTCTTGTCCATCGTCATTGCCTTCCACCACCACTACCACCGCCTTCCGCTATGTCCCTCCACCGCCATCGCCATTTCCACTGCCACTGCCATCGCCATCGTCATTTCCACCGCCACCATCTTTCGCCACCATCACCACCGCCACCATCTTTCGCCACCATCACCACCGCCTTTCGCCACCATCACTATCGCCTGCCTCCACTGCCTTTCGACACCACCACTACCACTTTCTGCCGCCGTCCATTGTCGTCGTTGCCTTCCACTACCACCACCGCCTTCCACCACTTCCACCGTCATTGCCTTCCACCCCACCGCTTAGAATGGTGATTATTATTTCATATTTGCAACCAAACAATAGAATGAGAATAACCATTCTTATTCTCATTCCATTCTCACCTTCATTCTATTTTATTTTGGATCAAACTGCGAAACACCTGACCCGTCAAAGTTGGTATCAAAGTCAGATCAGTTCTTAATCTCTTGTGGGGATGAATGTTACAAGGGGTCTACCACTTAATAATTTAAGCTTATGGGTGCCGCTTAGATTACGCTCGTCTGAGACTTAATTAATATGTAAGGTGGAGTTAATAATTTAGGATAAAAGCATATATATTTATATATATTGACACACATACACACAAAAGAATGTCTCATTCATCTTTTCATTCCTTCCCTCTCTTATCATGAAGTGGTAATAATCATATTTTCTACAAAAACATAGCATTACACTCGTACAATTTCTTTTCAAGGATGGAGGAAGGTACAAAATCGATGTTTGGTTGAGAAAATGATAAATGGATATGAGGATGAGTGATACTTTCATCTTCCTCGCCTTAGAAGGTTTCAATTCCCAAATCTCCATAAGAACATGACAAATAAGTGTGTGTTTTTTGCTAATGAAAAAATAAAAATATTAGTGGTTATATAATGAAAATGATGTTATTCTTGATTTATTAACCCTAATGCATTAGACACAACTATTAATTGAAATGGTGATGGAGTAATTAGTGATAAAGTAATTTATGTGGGAGGTCTATTCATGTTTCATATTCTTTGTCCTCTCAGGATCTAAGTTGCACAATTTTTTCGAATGGGTGTCACTCTTACCATCTACACGTGATTTCGTTCTCACGTTTCGTGCGTGCTCCCACTCTCGTTCCCACTCTTTGTGATTTAGATTTTGTCACTCTCGCATTCTCGCTCTCGAATTCGCTTTTACTTCCTTTCCCGCTCCATATGACTTAGGTATGGATCCTCAAATAATCTTTGCTACACATTACTTCTAATTGTTCTAAATTTCAACAGATTTTTTTATTTGTTGAAACTTAGGACGGATGTGTTCAAACATATTTTACTAGTGTTTAAAATATTTTAAAAATAACATCATTTTAAGTTTTAATTTGCATAAATCGTGTTTCAACATACTTATTCTATGTGATAAATTAAAAATGAGATACTAAAAGAATTCATTGTCATTGTCGCATGAGGTCGGAAACTCTCAAGTATAGTTTAAAGGAAGAGAATTAACCTTACAGTAGGGGAGAAATGGTAAGACTCTGAAATTGTCAAAAAAAGGCTTTGTTGAGAATTGAAAATAAGCTATATCGCTGGAACACATAATTTGTTGAAGAAGGCAAGAGAAAATTATTTGGTTATTGAATAAAAATAATGCTATGTTTGGGAGCACTTAATTGATACTTTGAATTTAGGATGAGAGGAAAATTTAGTTTAAAATTTATACTAAATTTTCTTAAATCCTAAATTTAATGCACCAATTCCAAACATAGCATTCTGACGTTGAATCAGGTTAGGGTCAAGGTAATAGGCTAACAACTAAGAATATTCTTGGGAAAGGGGAAGATGAATGGTAAACAACTAAGAATATTCTTGGGAAAGGGGAAGATGAATGGTAACACAGTGACTTTAAGAAATAATACAAATGATCGTGCAACACATTTAATTTAAAGATGTAATATTCATGCAATCTATTTACTTTGAGAATGTAACACATTTATCTTGAAGTTACATTCCGAAAATAAAGATGTTAAATATGCACGCGCAAGTGCAATACAAAATTAATTACAAAACAGGTACAATACAAAATTTTCGACTGGAGAAAATTTTGGTTAGTAAGTCTTTAGAATCGTTTAGTGCTGGGACAACAAATGAATGGAAGCGAAATGAGAAGAGGTCAAAGAGGCACTCAACACGATGGAATGATTCCAACGCTTTATGTTTTTTTGTTTGAAAGTTTTAGATGTGAAATTGCAAAACATTATTTTACTAGCATACCCTTTAATATAAGGTAGAGTCAATGATTTAAGATAAAAGTATATACGGAAATAATCTCTTCTTAACCCAAATATATATATATATATATATATATATATATATATATATATATTAAATCATAATAAATGTTGGATCTGATGACTATTTTTTTTTTGGTAACTACCTCTTGAACACTTGCGTTAGGCGTGGATGAATGGAATGAAATGCCTATTTTAACTATTACTTTGAAATGACCATTCCATTCCCAAATTAATTTTTAAAAAATTTTAGTTCTCAAAAAACCCTCATGTATAAAGTCCAAAAACTACCACCGCCACCACTGCCTCCCGCCACCACTACCACTGCCTTCCGCCACCGCCACCGCCATCACCTTCCACCCTACCAACACCACAGTTGCCTTTCACCACCACCACCTTCATTGCCCTTCCATCACCGTCACTGCCATTTCCATAATTATTACCGCCTTCAACCACCACATCGTCGTCGCCTCCACTGCCTTCCACCATCGCTACCTCCACCATCGTCACCACCACCATCGACTTCCATCACCACCTTCCACCATTATCACCTTTAACCACCGCCACCTCCATTGCCTTCCACCATCGTCATTGCCACCACCACCACCACCGTCACCATTACCGCCACCACCACCTTCGCATTCGATCAACCCCCACCTTCCACTTACACCACTACTGCCACCACCGTCATTGCCACCGCCACCATTGTCGCCGTTTTTCACCACCACCACACCACTGCCACTACTTCCACCACTACTACCACTTTCATCGCCGCCACCACCACCACCACCATTGACTTCCACAACTGCTACTACCACTGCCACCTCCACTGCCTTTTATCGCCACCATCACTAGCGTGACCTCCACTGCCTTCCACCACTACCACCTTCCATCATCACCATCATCACCTACACCATTAACACCTTCCACCACCATCATCTCTGAGAGGGGTATTTTGGAGAATTCAATTTGAAATTTATTCCATTCTAAATTTTAAATTGGTCCAACCAAACATTAGAATAGTTATTATCATTCCATTCCTACACGTTTCATATTTGCAACCAAACAATGATTGTGAATGTCCATTCTATTCCATTCCCAGTTGCATTGCATTTCATTCCCACATGCCAAACTCCGGCCTAGTTTGGTACGCAGTAATGGAATGAGCATTCCATCCCAACCATTCCCTTGTTTGATATGAAATTTAGATTGGCAATGACCATTTCTTTAGGAATGAAAATCCGTTCCATGTAAACAGATGGATTGAAAATTCCTTCCAAGGAATTAAATTCTAGACCACCGTCGCCGCCACCACAATCCACCATCACCACCACCTCTTTCCCCCACCACCACCAGCAGCACCGCGGGGGGAGATCAGTGGTCAACTGGGCAGCAATTCCCACCATCAAATAGAGAAGACGTTTTCGATTACAAGAACCACCTTCTGCCACCACCTTTCTCCACCGTCACTGCCGCCACCAGCACCGCCGCTACCCTCCACCGCCACAACCACAATATATAGCCACCGCCACTACCTTCCATCTTCACCACCATTACTTAAAATTGTGATTATCATTTCATTCTAACATCATTTCATATTTGCAACTAAACAAAAGAATAAAAATGGCCATTCCATTTCATTCCATAACTTCATTTCATTTTCAGCTTCGTTCCATTCCCATTCATTTCATTCATGCGTATCAAATTAGGCCAATTACATCCAAAAGTCATTATAGTTGGTGTGGATAAATCTGTTATACTACAAAACGTAGCATTAGACTCTTAATAGTGTCTTTACAAGGGGGGAGGAAATATGGCAGCCGAAAGGAGAAATACTTTATTGCTCCTGTTATATTAATGAAATGACATCACCAACTGATTAAATCTTGAGACGTAGTGGTAGTACCCACTACAACAAAGTACCCATACCTTCCATCTTCACCACCATTACTTAAAATTGTGATTATCATTTCATTCTAACATCATTTCATATTTGCAACTAAACAAAAGAATAAAAATGGCCATTCCATTTCATTCCATAACTTCATTCCATTTTCAGCTTCGTTCCATTCCCATTCATTTCATTCATGCGTATCAAATTAGGCCAATTACATCCAAAAGTCATTATAGTTGGTGTGGATAAATCTGTTATACTACAAAACGTAGCATTAGACTCTTAATAGTGTCTTTACAAGGGGGGAGGAAATATGGCAGCCGAAAGGAGAAATACTTTATTGCTCCTGTTATATTAATGAAATGACATCACCAACTGATTAAATCTTGAGACGTAGTGGTAGTACCCACTACAACAAAGTACCTTTACTTATATGATAATATATAATTGGCAGATGGCACGAATCACCAGTGCAGAAAAGTATTTCTCCAAGGGAAAGAAACAAAATTAATTGTTTTTTTTTTTTTTTTTTTAAATTAGAAAGAGAGAAACGGACATGGGGATGAGTGATACTTCCGTCTTGGACTCTTGGTCCATTAATTTACTTCCAAATTGGACATTAAGAGAGAGAGAGTATTAGTTATATAATGAAGAATGATGTTACTCTGAATTATTAACCCTAACGTATCAGATACAACACAACTATATTAATGTAATTGGTGATGGAGTAACATTTAGATTAAAGGCTTCATCTTCCTTTCTCTCTCACTTTTGTGCAGCCTGTGGAAAGATATTTCTTTCGTACCCAGCCAAACAAAACAAATATATGAAACAACAATTGCCTTCTTGACATGTCTCTTTCATCACTCCTCATTTCCCTCTCATCTTATTCAAGGAATGGTAATAATTACTCCTACCATTGAATTGTATCAAAATTTTGTTTGAATATATATCATACAATGGGGAGAGGAGTTTGATAAATTTAATTTGGAGTACTAATACACGACACTCAAGGTGTTTCACAAAAAGGTAAGCTCATAGATCCCACTTATATGTGATACGCCGAGTCATTTGTTATGGTCGACTTTTTTTATTTTCTATTTAAGAGTGATAGAATGTCTCAATCCCCTCATTTGCAGCAACTTTAAAAAGATCTCCATTAAATTCTCATGCTGAGCTTGCTTTTGGTTGGAAAGTTCTTCCCGAATAAAATTAATTCAATGAATAAGATGGCTTTAAAAATTGCCATTTTAATACCCATCAACTTTGACTAGTAATACAAATCATTTTCGAAGATAAGTCAGACTCGAATTGAATTTCGAGACACTTTCTAAATTTCTATATTTTTAGGCCTAATTATTTTCACTCGTCAAACCTGTAACAGTGAAATATCACACTCATTAAAGCTTTCTTCTTAAGTCATCATTGTAAAAATAAATTATAATAATAATAAAAAAAAAACCATAGTTGGGAAGCATTTTGAGGCATCGGTTGGGTGGTGGTTGGGACCTAAAATTCATTTATACTGATTTAAGTATTTGTGTGTTATGTATTTATGAATGAAACATGGTTTTACAACATCAATTCGCATTGAGATATGATTAAACCTCCGAACTCAGAGCACTGCAGCCCCAAGGTGTGATGTGATGCACATGGGTGGGATCTGCTAATATCTCGGTTCTTCATTAAGCTTAGGTGATTAAAGACCGTATCATTGTTCATTAGTACTAATCGTGTAGTGCGCGTGGGTGGGACCCATGAAGATCTCGGTTATTCATTAAGTTTTTGTGTTCGGAAACGTATAGTTGCTCATTAACATTAATCGTGTGATGTGTGTGTAGAAACTTTGAAGATCTCGGTTCTTCATTATTAGGCTTTTGTGTTCGAAAACCGTATCACTGCTCATTGACACTAATCATGTGATGCACGTGAGTGAAATCTGTGAAGATCTCGGTTCTTTATTAAGCTTTAAGCTTCTATGTTCGGAAATCGTGTCAATTTCAATTTTAGTATATCCGGATTTATATACTTCGAAATATAATTTGAGGCAAAAAAAAAAAAAAAAAAACAAACTATAAAATTAAAAAAATGGCCAAAACTTGGAAAATCTTTACCAAATTTAGGAGTGGAGGGAAATGATTCACATCCAAACTTCCCTTTCGGTTCCCCATATTAGATCCAAAACTGTCAAAATTTACAACCATGCACGTGTTTGGAGGGCTAGATATTGGCAATAATTTCTGGGCTTATCTCATCCAGTAAAGACTGTAAAGGGATAACAAAATAAATGAAATAATTATCCAAACAAAAGGAAAACGACACTTTTTTTTGTATTTATGTGAAGTCACAGTCTGAAAACATAAATCTAAACATATATGTATGAGGACTATGAGTTTTCAGTGTGTGTGTGTGTGTGTGAGTAATACTACGGACTCTATCCTCGAGGGATTTCTATGGTCCTCGCAGCTTCAAACTGAACCGTCCATCCACCACATGGTGTATATAAGCCTTTTAGATACGCATATTTATTTATGTATGATTTCATAGATTTTGAATTGGGAATATCAATTTAATCCGTTCGTCTGTCCAAATCTGCCCCTAATAGAACGGATTTGAATGTATCCTAATCGAATAAGAGCAGATTTAAAAATAGAGGCAAAACTCGAACCCTCTCCGAACGATTATTAATATATATACTATACATATATATACATACACTATATAAATGTCAATAGTATTTTTATCGTTTATATACATTTTTAATGTTTAATTAATAAGTGTGTCATATATATTAACTATTTATTAAAAAATATATTTAGCTAAGTAATAAATCACGTATTTATGATAGACCATGGACGATAAAAATAAAATAGAATTCAAACCTTACGGTTGAGACCTTCCTAATGATTGCCTTATTTTAATATTCTTTTGATATATATATATATATATATATATGTTTTGGTTTCAATTGAGATTTGGGTTCTCTATTTTCTTATTATTATTCTGCGCAAGCCACGAAATTTAATTTCTAATTTTATTCAGGCTTTTGAAAAGTCTATGCAAGAAACTTCTTAAAACTTAACACTGAAAAATAGTGTTACTTGGACTGAATTTTTGAAATCAATTGCTTGATTGAACACTATTAATTGATTATTATTATTAATGAATGACATGTACTCTTTTGATAAAATAAGAGAAAGTAAACTTACAGTAGAATTGCAGCAATAAGAAAACCACATTAGTTAATATTAAGGTACTGAGACAAAGGAACATTAGTTATTATTAAGGTAAGAGATAGTGGCTAATCAAAATTAACATGAGAGACCTTAATAGATTTGAGATATAAAAGGAGACATAACGTATAATTAAATAATAATAATAATAATTTACACCATAGATCACATTCAAATGGGATATGGAAAGATGATGATTCATTTCTCAAATACGTAGGGAAGTATTGCCCGTCAAACCTCAAGGGATTGGCTCAAGTGTTAAATCAGTTGGTCTAATGCCGCCTGAAACATCAGGTTTAAAGTTCGACTCCTCCTACGTACAAACAATTCCTTAAGAGAGCGTGTATCAACTAAGGAAAAAAAAAGTATTGTCCGTCCACATGTTTTTTTTTTTTAGTAAGCCTTCCTCAGGTAGAAGCTATGATAGCATTTCCATGACTATGTTTATCAGACCTAGTTCATCGTGTCATCAACCAATTATATCTCGTCACATAAAAAAAAAAAAGTATTACGTGTCAGCATTTAATTAGTTGGTGGTGATACCATGTCATCCATATACCAGTGGCATTAAAGTATTTCTCCAACATTAGGCAGGCTAAAAACTAGGCATCGACCAGGAATTTATCATTTTATTCCATCTCAGGTAATCAGCTTCCATGAAACACTGCATTGGCAACATATCCTCATATAAAGGGCAATCTAGGAACAGTACCCTAAAAAAAAAAAAACTAGAGTAGTCAATAGAGCTCCAACAGATGAAGATCCCAACAAAAGCAGTTTAATGTTCTACATTCAATTTTCCTCTCTTAAAATGCACATAGGCTATTTTAAAGGTAAAATGTAATTCTAAATAGAGGAAAACATATTCACTTTCTAAACTCAATTTTAGACATCTAAAATGTATAAATCTCTAACAAAGGCAGCCCAGAAATTGCTTTCAAGATGCATATCAGGAGAAACATCTAATATAAACAACTGTCAATTATAATGGCACATATCCTTAAAGTTCAGAACTGTTAAACATTAACTGTGTCAAAAATCAAACCTAGGCCACCAAGGAATTCAACATATAAATGACCTTCTAAAAGTAATTGAATGGCTAGAAAATCAAGACAGTTGATTAATTTACAATCAGAGTAATAACATTTCATGTCTATTACTGTCATAATCTTCTATTCGTCTGCTATATTATTTCTTCTCTGCTCACCTATTCTCAATTCTCAGCTTCTACATGTTTTCAATAAAGATAAAGAATAATAAAAGCCTACCTAAACATATTTAAGTTGTCATTAAGAAAAGAACAACACTCCGACTCAAGAACTAAAATATTCCACGTGGAACTTTAATACTATAAAAATAAATCAAGAAACTCCAATTTGGTATCTTCCTAAGACGAGAATATCAAACTTCCTCTATTCAACACACTTGCACCCTAAATTACCATAATGTAAATATCATCTGCTGACACCTGAAATCAATCATGAAGGTTAGGCAATAGAACAGCGTCCTATATTGCAAAACCTATTCAAGCCCTAAAATTAGCAGCAAGCCATACCTTTCAATCATAATCTTCACCATTGTGATCTTACAGCAACACATCATTGCATTAAACAAGAGATATTTGTTGTAATACAAAGAATTACTCAATATCCAGTGCACATGTAACACTCCAAGAATCGTTGAATTTGATTAACATCCCCATCATACCCCATCCCCCACACCCACACCAGAGAAAGTGTGCTTGGTGTGTGACATTGGCATTAGTGCATCTCCCGTGCTTACGTGTGTGTTGGGGGTGGGGGGAAGGAAGGAAAATAGAGATTAATATAATTACTTTATATATAACAAATGTTACCAACCAGCAGTCTTAATGATCGTCAACTACTCACTCTTATTCAAAGTTTTGATGTACCTGTATACGAGTGCCAAACTTGTTACAGGGCAATAGATCAGTCCTGCTAAATTTCACAAGAGTAACAGCCATTATGGTGCCATAAAGATCATAACTGCCCATTATAATGTCACAATGGGCTGCTATGCTGCCAAAGGGCGCTCCCCACCACACCCCCCCCCCCCCCCCCCCCCCCCCCCTCTCGCTCTCTCTTTTTATCTCTTATATTTCAAGCTTTGGAATGCTGCAGATAAACCATCTACAAGATTTAACCTCCTATATTAGATCAAGAATTCAGTTGTAAGTTCCACATTAAACCATCTAAGACTGATTTAGGCATTAGTTGTTAAAGGTGTGCGTAGACTTCAAAAAATCAGACGAGTCAAGGCTCAACAGTAGTGCCTCCGTCTACTACAGGCCAAACCCTTAAGTAAGGCTCACGTAAAACCTTGAAGCTCGCATTTTTTTGCAAGCTCCAGGCTCAGAAAAAGTGCACTTCTTATGTTTTATTCATTCGTAAATGTCGTTTTCTTTTCTTTCTTTTTTTATTTTTATTTTTTTTTATGACATGAATTTATGTACTCTACATCACATCATGGTCATATTCGATAGATCATATCATATTGTTTAATCTTAATGTATATTAAACAGGATTCACGGTACATTTAACGGAATTCACTAGTTATATTAGTTGTATTTAGTTCTTGATTCTGAATTATTATGATAATATAACATATGTTCAAAGTCTAGTAATCAAATTTCTCTATTGTTACTCTTCTTTAATAATATTCAATTTAGTTAATGCGCATGCATATCGAAAAGATTTATTCACATTGAATTAAAAATCTACTAATTATTTTTCTCAATTGTTACTCTTTTTTAATGATATTTGATTTAGTTAATGCGCATGCATATCGAAAATATTTATTCACATCGAATTACTTGACCTTCTAAATTTATATGTCAAAATTCCATTTTTAAAATACTTTGACTCTACCGTGTTACATATCTCGAATTGTTCTAAATATATATTGATTTAACTGAATCTGTATGCAAACTGAAAAAATATATGTATATTGATTTAGCTAATCCATTGAGCTACCATGCTAACAGATTCCTTTCCTCTGATCTTGACTAGTTTCTGTTGATTTATTTTAATTTTTTCTATATTTAAATATAATAATAATTTAATTAAGTTGATCAAGCTCATGCCTTAGTATGCCTTATGCTAAGGCTCTACGAGACCTTGGTTCCATTCAATGCCTTGAGCCTTTTACTAACTATGGATTTGTGTAAATTTTGTTATCTTTAGCCTAGAACTCTTGTTTGAAGTCATATTACAAGCATTTAATTCTGAATCCATTTCCAGTTTTCCTTAGTTGGATCTACCACCTCACACTATTTGTATTATATTGAGTTGAAGATGTTTCAACATGCTTAATCGAATAATTTAAAAGATTTCATCTGTAAGACCGATAGTCATTGTCATAGAAGTAATGGAAGGTATCCAACCTAGTATTTCTTAAAACAAGGATTCTATACAACTGCTTGTGTTGTGAAGTAATTTCTATTATAAATCCTGCATGAGAAATATACCAATAATGCTGCTCTTATTAAAGAAGATATTGATGCCAAACAGGTGACAAGAATTAGAAATATTTATAAGACCAGCAATGTTCAATCTATACCCAGTGACTTTAATATTTATACCACATAAATACTTAAAAGAATTAGTAGGAACAACTCTTAAACCAAGTTTAGATTTGACCCAGGGATAAGAAGTAAATCCAGTTTGCCTAGAGATTCAAAACTCCTAAAATTATAGGCATAGTTGTTAAAGGTGCGCCTAAGCTCCAAACAAAAGCCTCAGAATCGTCAAGGCTCGGCTAGAGTGCCTCAACCTACTACAGGGCCGGGCCCCTTCAATCAGGTTCACGCTTTTTAGTAGGCTCCAGGCTCAAAAAAAGGCGCGCCTTGTAGTTTTTAATCATTTATTCATATCATTTTCTTTTTTGTTTAATGACTTACTAAGATAAAATGTTCTATATCATGTATCATATTGTTTCAACCTTATGACATATTTGACAAAATTCATAAATTTATGGTTCACTACTTGCATTAACTGCAGTTAGTGCTTGATTCTGAATATATTTAATAATATATGGTCTAATATGCATTATAATTACACATGCGCCTTACTTCAATCAGGCTAGCGCCTTATACTGCGCCTTGCGCTTAGGTTCTAGAAGGCCTTTGGCGCCTTTAGCCTTTAACAACTATGATTATAGGTATTCCAGTTAATAACTAATACATAAAAGGAAGTGGTTCTAAGTGTTGCACTTTCAGTTCCAAATAGTATTAGTATGATCTATATTTCCAACTATCATAAAGAGCAGACATCATAAAAGTAATGGTAGCAGATAGTATTAGGACTGGTACTATTATGACATGATGATGATGAATTTCTTGCATATATATATAAGAAGAGAGATACAAGGGAACTTTACATAACAGCGAGTAATTAAGAAATAACCGTGACTTAGAAAGCTCTAGTCACAACAAATCTCCTTATATATGCTCCATGTTTCTATCAAACAATGTTACAAAAAAACAAGTAATATGCACGTGTAGAATTTTATTCAATTATGAATTTTGTCAACAATCACGAAACTAAACATTGAATATTTAGTCCCCTCCATTTCATTTATCTATAATTATGATAATACTAGGATAGCAGAAGCATCCCTGTAAATATATATCTCTTGCCTTAGGAAGTTTACAAGCATGATATTCATACAAAAACAGACTTATCAGTCAAGGTGAAAAATAAAGCCTCCATAAAATGGTTACAGTTGCTCCAGAATTTCAAATAATCAATCAAAGAAAGAAAAAAGGGTATTGTTACAAGCAAATCACTTTGCTCAAAACTGGACAAAAAACCGTATCATGGCCAATTATTGAAGGCTGGGACAGAAACAGAGTCACGAAACATACAAAATGCCACGTCGATAGAGAACAAGATTCGCTGAAGTAAACAAGGCCCAAACAAAGACAACCCACCAAGCCATAAACAACGCAAAGTTTTTAAACAAAACAGAGCAAGGCAGTAAACTACATACCAATTGGAAAGAGTCAAACAAGTTATCATCAATCTGAGATAATCCAAGAAAGAGAAGCATCAATGCTGGTGGCACAAAAAACTGCAGTGCCACAAGACACAAGTAATGGTTGTGCAGAAAAACCTTTGCCCGACTGAAATCCAAGTCAGGAACCTTGCTGGAGTGCAATCTCTGATACCAACATAACACTGCTTCGTTCAAATACATTTGCAAATTCGGGCGCACACTTGCAATTTGGAGAAGTCCCGAAAACAACAAACACCAAAGCCTCAACTTATGAAAATCAACTCGCGACATACCCACATTTCCAACCAGCTCCTCAAAATCTCCATTACTACCAATCAAATGTGATCCTTTCCTCCCATCCATTCTTTTGTTAATCAGAAGTTCGGCCAACGGATTAACCCAAAGCAATGAAGTGAAGACAATCAACAAATAATTAGCATAAAGAAGCATTCTACCAATCCATCCACAAGAAATTATAGACAAATTACAACAAATCTGATCCGATCCAATCCAAAATGCACGGGCACTCTTTGCTGCCGGCATGAACAACAAACCAGCAATGCACCCCATCAAAACAGCTATCCAAAACCTCACAAACCCATCAAACGATTCAAACCCAAAATCAAAAAACAAATAAGGAACAATTCCAAAAACAACAGCAAGCCCTGAGAGAAACCCTAAAACCCCCAGCAGAACACTCAATTGCTTCTCCGACCTCTTAGTCGCAGACCGCTCAAACGAAACCCTAGCAATCAATACAAAAACCCTACAAACACATACAAACCCTAAAATCATCGGCACTACAGACCCATTTGCTAAAATCCCAGAATCTTCCGACCCAGATAGAAATTTGTGAAGCAACATACACGAACAGGCCACAATTGTGAAATTGAAAACGCTTCGATACGCACTGAAGTAGATTCGTGTTTGGAGGTGATTGTCATTGAGTTTGAGCCTGAAGATCTGAGCTTTGCTCTCATCGAACTCAAACTTTTCCTTGGATCGCTTCCTATTCTTCAAGTCAGCGTCGGATGTGCCTGGTCTTCGAATCGCTGCTCTGATACCACCACCTTGTCGAGAGCTGTTGTTGGGGCTGACATCGTCTGGGTGGACATAGGTGTGGAGGCCATGGAGGAAGAGAGTGGAGATCTTGAGGAGAGAGAGGATTGTAGTTAGAGAGAGAGCGAGTAAAGCTTGAAGTATCAGATTGACGTGGGAGAAAAGGATTGAGGGCATGATCTTCGTCAAAATTGTACGAACCGAAATGGGTCTTTAGATTCTGATAGTGACGACAGATTGGAGCAACAAACACGTATGAGATCTCAAAACACGGGGGAGACTGGGTTCAAGAGAGTGGACAACATTGTCGATTTTCGTTTGGTGTGTGACTCTCTGTATTCTTCGGATTGGTCGCCTGAGCCCACTGGTCTTGCTTACATTGGAACCAAATCCATTTGAATAATGGATTTTCTAGGCTGCCTACTGGATCTGTTGCCAATTGCTGAATGGGCAAAACAAAAATAAAAATCATGCTTATACGTATGTATTAAAAATAAAAAATATTTTTTTTTTTTTATTTTTGTGAAAAATAGGAAAACATACAAAAAAAATATATATATATATTTAAGAATTACTATAAATATATAGACTTATGGACTCATATTTATCATTTGATGATGTCAAATTTATAATTTTTTTTTTTTTTTTTCCCGAAAAGTAAGGTTTTTTTAACAAATAAAGAAGAGTAAACACTAAAATGGACATGGAATAACATTGTTCATTTTCCAAACTGTTCTTAATATTTTTATGTACCATTTTTGTGTATAAAAGTACAACTCTTATGAACATAGGTACAATATTATGTGTAGACCATGTCTAGATACAAAAAAGAGTGGTAGCTGATGACATGGTCTGATAAAAAAAATAGTGCCTATATACACAAGAGTAGCACCTTCATGCACAAAAGTAATACTTGTATGTGTTAGTCACTAATTGACTCTAGAGGGGGGTGAATAGAGTCAATGGCCAATTTTTGCAATTTATAAAATATTAAATCTAACAAACTGTTAAGCACAGAGGAATTGAAACATTCAAGTAGTATATGGCACAAGTATAAGAGAGATAGAGATGAGAGATTGCAAACTATGACTTGGTGATTTAGCGAGGTTCGGAAACTCCTACTCTTCGGCTCAAGGTCCCCCTTGAGACTTCCTAAATTCACTAGAGCTTCTCCTTAATGGTGGAGAGCAAACCTTCAATTGAAGCAAGACTTTGCTTCTCTTCCTTGTTAGGAGAACACCCTTCTCCTAGGCTTCCTTTGGATCACACCAACCCTTTTACAATAACTTGGAATAGAAATGAATTGTACAATAAATCTCTCAAAGATAGAAGTACACAGTTCTGCTCACGACTATAGTAAAGATGAATATATATGAAGCTCAAAATTACTACAATGGAATGAAATGTAAGAGAGGAAATGAAAGCAGTGGAAATGAAAGCTCAACGAATGCTTTTTTAATGCTTTTCAAGAATGGTAGAATGCTCTCTGTAATGGTGTATATTATGATGCATACCAACCTCTGTATTTATAGATAAACAATGGTCAATATAGCTGTTGCAGGTGGTTGGGAAACAATAAATGAAAAAGTTTCCATTGTAAATCAAAACCCTAGAAGGAGTCGGCTCTTGTAAACAAGAGGAGGCGGCTCCCTAGCCTTGAGAGCCGACTCTCCATTTTGGGAGCCTGCTCTTTGGATGGAAACTTCATTTTTCGTTGAAAAATAGCTTACAGGAATGTTGAGAGCCGTCTCTATTTTTATGGAGCCTTCTCTATTTGAAATAGAGCCTGCTCTAATTTTCTGAGCCTTCTCTAGTTTTATAGAGCCTTCTCTACTTTCCCGAGCCTTCTCTAATTTTTGTAGAGCCTTATCTATTTTCAGTAGGAGACTTAAAATGAATTCCAGTATGATGTGAGGCTCATGTGTGAATGTGTTCAAAAACCTAATGAGCTGATTTTATGTTCTTTGAAAAATGAAATGAGAATAATATGCATAAATTGTAATTTTGAGCTTCAAAATATATTCAACTGAACTTTGACATTAAACCTTAAGCTCTCACCATCCTATATATTCTTTTCTTCATTTCTTGACCATGATCGTTTAGGCTTGATGAAGATTTGCTGAAGGGCTTGAATAATCTTTGAAGTCCAAGTTTTTTCTTCAATTTCTTGCACCTTGAGGCTTCCTTAAATCCAGTATCTGAAATGCTTAGAATGGATCTTCTAGCTCAACATTGAGGATTGAATATTGATCAACTGTATATCACTCAATGAAAATATTAGTACTTAAACATCATTAATGGTTTGTAATCATCAAAATATAAGATTGACCTTTAGATAGAATCCTTAGGCCAACAATCTCGCCCTTTTAGATGATGACAAAACATTGATGTGTTTATAGTCAACGTGGAGTTGCATTAGAAAGAATGCTCCCCCTATCAATAAGCATATCTTGAAAATCATATCATGCTTGATTCTATAACAATTATTTTAGACAATTTGAAAGCATTTAAATTTCACAGACATTTTTAGAAGTCTCCCCCTATCAATATGCATCTATCAAGGTATTTAAAAAGCAATAGAATAGACACATAGCACATCAGCATAATAGCACATCATCATAAGAACACATCTTTCTCCCCCTTTGTCATCTCAAAAAAAGGTGGGAGACTAAATGAATAAATAAATAAAAATAATTTGCCATTTCAGGAAATATCAGAGAAACATGAATTAAAGGGCAAATGATGAGCAAATATGTCATTTTATAGATAACAGAAGTCAATACAGAAGGAGACTGTGAACACGACTACCATATGACAAACAAAAGCATAGTTTATAAAACACAGGTAAAAAAAAAAAAAAAAAAATGCTTCTCTAAAGCAAATAAGGCTAATAAGTGAACACAAAAGTAGGTTTGAAATGGAGAAAAACTATTCTAAGGAGAAGAAGGTCCATATTGGTTTCGAAATTCTGCAAAATCCTCATTAAGATGAATGATTGCCATGTGCATTTCGTCAAGTTGAGTTTGTTGTTTTTCAAGAGTGGCCTGGTTTTGACGAGTGCCTTTGAGAATTTCCAACAAGAGAGCACGATTGGTACGATTTTCAACTGGAACTTCCTCATTTTCATCATCGTCATCACTTTCATGTTCGTCTTTATCCGCATCATCAACATCCTCAACCTCTTCTCCTCTAGCTCTAGCCTCTTCGAACCTGCGTTGCCTAGGATAAAACCACACTCCATTGGAATCCCTTTTTAGCCCCATTGATGCAAGATTTGAGGCAGTGAGAATGTGTCTTGGCCCTGGTTTGATTACTTCACGATTATCAAGCAGAACCTTCTTAGCCATAAATATGTGAGTGAGAACCATGGCATAATATAGAGAGACCTTTTTCTTTCTTTTGCATGTAAGTAGGTGATGAAATATTATGTATGCAAGATCAAAGTGCTTGCCATTTAAAACACACCAGATAAGAAAGACGTCCATGTGGGAAACTTTGGATCGACTGCTGGATTTGGGAAGAATAGAGTACATGATGATCTTGTGAATCAACCGGGCTTCCATAGTTAATTGCTTGGTGTTGACCTCTTTGGTATTGGTTACATTGGAATCATAACTCATTGCCAAATAGCCGTGAGTTTATTAAAACCTTGTCCTTTAAACCAGTTGAAATGAGAATAGAATTGAATTCCATCCACAGGGGGAAGGTGAAGGATTCGAGCAATGCTGTTTGTATCAAGGTGAAAATATATTCCAGCCACATAGCAGTTAAGTTTTTCTTCTACAGGCATTTCTTCAAGATGAGTGTAGAATAACTTTACTAATTTTGGATAATATCCTTCATTCATCCCAACAAATGATCCAAGGCCAATTGCATCAAACAATCTATAGGTGTTGAGATGAAGATCATTGCAAATTGTGTCAGACAACACCATTGTTGTGGCCACTTTTCTATACTGAAAGAATTTGTCATATATGCTTTTGTATGTGGGGTTTTTATATAGCATGGTGGCAGAGATTTGAAGTGGAGGAGGATTTGGTTCACTAGGACCTGATTCATCATTATGTTGAGTAGACCGTTTTTGTCCACTAGAAGGATTCTTTCTACGTGAGAATGAAGCCGTGGACATTTCTAGAAATTAAACTGAAATTACAGAAGGAATTCTCTGAATAAAAATCCAATTTAAAAGCCAATGAAAATTTCAAGTCTCAAATTAGTTTAGACTAAAGATTAATATTAGAATTAATAAAACAAATTGAACCAATGAAAAGGCCCAGTTTTAAAATGCTCATTCAGTTAGAATTTTGAGTGTAAAAAAAAAAAAAAAATTTGTCTAGACATGAAGAACCAAAATGGAATCATAATAGAGGATTCAAATTTAAACTTAAATGGAAGCACATGGAATTTTGACAAGTCAGTGCATGGAACAACCTAAAATTTTTGCTTGATAAACCCAAAAATTTTTTTTATATAACATGCTCTAGGGATTGAAATATATAAATTCATCTTGAGAGCAGAAATTCGACAGAATTTTGAAATGTTACTACCCAAATGAACTATAGTCATCACATGTTTCAAATTTATTCAAAAATAAATTCAAATAAAAAAAAAATGGGTTTGATAACAAAATTTATGCAATAACTCAAGATTTGATCTAAATATAATGGATCAACAAATTGATTAAAAGACAAATAGAAGCTTGTGGAATAAATTTTGAATTTACAGACCATAAATAAGCCAATTTCATATGGAAGAGAAAAGCTACGGTATAGTTAAGAGATTCATGGAATGATGGATTCAAAGGATGAAATTAAAAATTAATGACTGAAAATACAATTAAAAGGCAATGAATTTATGAAATGTGGAAATAATTAGATGGAAATTCACATACTTGTGAAAAAACTGGAGGAGAATGAAGAATGCCCTTGCCGAGATGCTCTCTGGAAGTGGATGAGGTTATGCCCAATAGTGAGTAGATATATATAAATATAACATCCAACAGTGTAGAGAAGAATTCGTGAGGCCTATATTCAGGGAATGGAGCCGGCTCTTGGAATTTTAATGAAGCCGGCTCTTAGATTGTTGAGCCGGCTCTTTGTCCATTGGCAGCCAGCTCTTAAAAAATTGATGGAGCCGGCTCTTAGCAATTTTAGAGCCGGCTCCTTGCCAAGAAAAAAAATAATACTCGGCTCAAGGAAGAAATTTGAGACGGCTCTAAACAATTTTTGGAGACGGCTCAATTAATTTTTAGAGCCGGCTCTTTTGGGTTTTTTAGAGATGCCGAGAGTTGGATGTTTAAGGTATTTTAGGAGCCGGCTCTTCCTTTATGTTGAGCAGGCTTAATTGTCTGCAGAGGAGATCCCGAGAGTTAGAAGAAAATAGCACTTCAGGAGCCAGCTTTACCTTTTTCTAGAGACGGCTCTTCCTATTCCAATT